GATAGGGAGGCCCCAATATGACCCTTTTTGGTCATTTTTGATCAGATCTTTGGCCATTATCGGTCAGATTCGGGCGAGATTTGACCGTTAACGGCCATATCTCATTCAGATATTGCTGATAAAGGCGAAGGGTCTGGCCGTTAATGGCTAGATTTGCTCTCGATATGGCCTTTTCGACTATCAATATGGCCATAACAAAGCCTCCCGGTGATGGTGGGCTACTCCTGGTGACTCTAGGTGACTTCCGGCACCTTCCTGCAGTGGCCAACAGTTGTTTGTCTGGCAATAGGCAGCGACAGGTGGGTGGGGGTGGTGGCTTGGATAAGCTGAAATTTGTTTTGATTTCAGGGGTAATTTTGTCCAAAAAGTTAATTAATTGGGGTGAAATGGTAAATTCAAGATTTATGTAAATAAATTTAAAAATAAAGGCATTATTGTCCTAAAATTTTATTGATAAGGGATATAATTGTAATAAAAAAAAATTACCTTAATAATCTTACAATATCTAAGAAAATTGAGTTAATCAGATTACCTCCAATATTACCAACAATAAATATTATTGGGTGCGTTTGGCTCCCTATTTTTATCCATATTCCCAATCCTATTCTCCAAATAATGTTTGGCACATTATTCCAGAAATATTACCCTATTTTTTTAATTCTTTTTAGACCCCATAAGGTTATTAATTTCACTAAATATCCCTTGAAAAAAGTTTAAAAATTAACAAAAATACCCCCATCAACCCAACTTGTCAGATTCTGGCAACCACCGTTGATGATAGCCGGAATCTGTACAACGGGTTAAATTCCAACCATAAATGGCCAGAATTTCACGGATCTGGCCTTTTCCGGCCAGATCCACCACGGATCTGGCCGGAAAAGACCAGATCTGGCCGTCAGCAACGGCCAAAGAAATGGCCGTCGTTGACCGAAAACGATAGCCACATCTTTGGCCGTGGACGGCCATAACAGGCCGTAGATCTGGCATTTTCCGGCCAGATACGTGGTGGATCTGGCAGGAAAATGCCATAATGACGCATTACGACATAGATCCGACAGGTATGTGCCGTAACGAAATTTCCAGCCAGATTCTGGCGGTGGTGGCCGGAATCTGGCACTGCAGGTGGTGGGGGTGTTTTTGTCATTTTATATATTAGGGTCTTCAATTAAATTAGTAAACCTAAGGGTTTTTTTATAAATTTTTAAAATTTACCTCGTAATACTCCTCTATCCAATAACCCAATACTATCTCCAAAATCCTATCCAAAATACTACACCAAACACACCCATTGATATTTGAAGATTATCGGAATCTTATATTACTTAACAATCAAATATGATAATCAAATAATATAAGATGATATAACTTCAATAATCCCACATAACCCCAAGCAAACGCCCCTTATAAGCATTTGCATTCGTCTGTTAAAGTGAATATTATAGATGTTTGATCATTACATTGAACTTCAGTCACTCTTAATTATCCACTAAAATTTCGATTTGGTCTAAGCTCTCACTCGGCTACCATTCGGAGTAGATGTTTCAATCGGGATGGATGTAAACTGGTCTAGTTGACATGAGGCTCAGTTGGGTTATAATTTTTGTTTGCCTGCTCAGGTAGGGCTGTGGATTTTTTAAATCTTCTTGAGGTTGNTTATTTTCTTTGTGGTGATGCAGGTCAGATCGACCTCAAAGAAACTGCCATATCAGAGGATGAGCAGAAACAAGAAACTTGAGTTTTAAATACTCTGTTTTAGTGTTTTTCGGATCAAGTTTTCTTATTCTTATTGCATGTATAACCTACAAATGAGGTATTATAGAAAATTTGAATTTGGCAAGAATTGTGGGATTAAAGACAAGAATAAGGATGTCAACTTAAGAGTTGATATGATCTGAAGCGAAATCTGGTGTTTCTACCTGCAAATGTGACATATAAGAGCTACTGTAGTGCCCAAAATATGTTCCATTCTTTTTGGATGAATGTCATATATAAGAGCCACTGTAAAGCCTAAATTATGCTCAATTCATTTTGAATGTCAATTTTTTATTAACTCTTCTTTTATGTACATAAACGCCTGTTGCATTACCAAAATTTTCCGTTTGTAACCAACATTACCCAATTATAACGCTATAGGTGCGTTTGGTTCAGGGAATGTTGGATTACTGAAATTTTATATTTTCGTGAAGATTAATCTTTAGGAAAATGTGTTTGGTTAGTTGGAATAAATGAGTAAGTATATTATATTAATATGTTTGGTGAGGAGGAATAAATTGATGGGTATGTTATTTAAATTATTAAATTGCCCTTTTTTAAAATATTAATCTAATATTATTTTTATTATTAATTTTTAAATAGTTTTTTTTAACCCCTAATATTTCAAATTTAGCTAAAACACCCCGCTTATATAAAACTTTAATTTATAACAAAATCATCCCCACTACCATGTTGTCGCCTGCCACCACCGTTGAAAGTCGTCAGAAGTTGCCGCGAGCAGCTCACCGCGATCGAGAGGCCCTGATATGGTCATTTTCGATCATTTTCGGTCAGATCCCTGGCCATTATTGGCTAGATCTAGGCGAGATCTGGCTGTTACCCGATAGAGCCGTTTCTGGGCATTTTCGGTCAGATCCCTGGCCATTATCGACCAAATCTAGAACGACTAGACCCTTGGCTTTTATCGGCGACATCTGAATGAGATATGGCCAATAAAGGTTAAGGGTCTAGTCGTTAAAGGCCATATTTGCTCTCGATATGGCCTTTTCGGTCGGCGGTGGTTTGTTTGGCGGTAGGCAGCGACAGGTGGGTGGGGGTGGTGGCTTAGGTAAGTTGAAATTTGTTTTGATTTCAAGGGTAATTTTGTCCAAAAAGTTAATTAATTGGGGTGAAATGGTAAATGCAAGATTCATATAAATAAATTTAAAAATAAGGGCATTATTGTTTTAAAATTTTATTAATAAGGGATATAATTGTAATAAAAAATAGATTACTTTGATAATATTATAATACTTAGGAAAATAGAGTTAATCAGATTATCTCCAATATTACCAACAGCAAGTACTATTAGTATTTGAAAATAGCAGAATTTTATATTACTTGACAATCAAACATGATAATCAAATAATATAAGATGATATAACTCTAGTAATCTTACATAACCCTCAATCAAACGCCCCTTATAAGCATTTGCATTCGTCTGTTAAAGTGAATATTATAGATGTTTGATCATTACATTGAACTTCAGTCACTGTAATTATCCACTAAAATTTTGATTTGGTCTAAGCTCTCACCCGGCTACCATTCGGAGTAGATGTTTCAATTGAGATGGATGTAAACTGGTTCGGTTGACACGGGGCTCTGTTAGGTTATAATTTTTGTTTGCCTGTTCNCAAACGCCCCTTATAAGCATTTGCATTCGTCTGTTAAAGTGAATATTATAGATGTTTGATCATTACATTGAACTTCAGTCACTCTTAATTATCCACTAAAATTTCGATTTGGTCTAAGCTCTCACCCGGCTACCATTCGGAGTAGATGTTTCAATTGAGATGGATGTAAACTGGTTCGGTTGACACGGGGCTCTGTTAGGTTATAATTTTTGTTTGCCTGTTCAGGTAGGGCTGTGGATTTTTTAAATCTTCTTGAGGCTGGCTTGCACCCTGGTTCGTTCACTCTGCCGGCGTATTTAATAACCGGTTAATCGATTTTTTGAACCAAGCTGATTTTTTGGGTTAAAAAAATTTTTCGGACCAAAATCGAATTAATTACGTGGAAAATTGGTTTTTCGATTAATCAAAAAATGGGTCAACCGGTTTTTTCTTTAACTTATTTTTCTCTAATTTAACTTTTTTTTTTTTATTTTGAGAGGGAAAAGAAAAGTGAAAATCGGCGAAAACTAAGGAGAAATGTGTGATAAAAAAAGGAGAAATGTCTAAAGGGTGAAGAGTAAAGAGAAAAGGTTTGGGGATTAAGGGTTTTTTTAATTTTAAAGTGAAAATCGGTTTTATAAATAGGTTTTGGTTTTAAAATTTCTTTAAACTGATAATCGAACTGAATTTCTGATTTATGTATTTCCTTAAACTAAAACCTAAACGAAAAATCGATTCAATTAGGTTTTTGTATTTTTTTTGAACACCCTAGACATATATGTTAACATCTTAGAAAAGAAAAAAAATATTTGTCAATATAATTTATTATATGTACGACGTGTAACGTTTGTCTCAGAGTCACATTAAGATCATCCTGCATTTCAAATGTAATTTGATGGGAGTTTGGGTTAGGATACGCTATTGCAAGTCAAAATGGGACTTTTCAATTTGTGTTGTCATCCCTGATTATTTAGCTTTCCCGATGGGAGAGAGTAAAATGGATATATCAGTAGGTTTATGATCTGGATATAATTTAATAAGAGTGATGTTATATCATATATGTACAAATTAATTATACATGTTTGACACATTACTTTCTCTAATTTGTTATGAAAATAATTTTTGTTACACCAAATATTAAGATTACAAAAACTCTTGTTTAGAACCAAAAAAAAAAAAAAAAAAAAAACTGTATACATACATGCGTGGTCTAAAGAGTTGGATAGATTATGCAAAGTGTCTTTTCGACATGGGTCAAGTGTGGTTTGTGACGGTATTAAAGTTCACCGAATTGATCCACATGCAATGTTCTGGCCTGTTTTAGTCACCATAGCTTTGTTTCACATAAATATTCTGTCTCATCAAGATATTTTTTATTTTTTTGGATTTATCTAAACATCAACATTTGTGGCCAAATGACGACACAGAAGCGGCGTCAATAAAAGTGCATGACCACGTAATCTTAACGCTCAAGTTGAATACAACAGATATTTTGGACCTATAACAAAATATCTGGTAAATATCGCGCTCTAATCAGCTCGGGTGTTGACGTGGCAACATGATGGTCCTACGACACGCGAAAAAGTGATGACAACTGTATCGTTCTTTGATGCCTAAACACCGCTTACAATTCATTACATTACCTCCTCCACCCACACCATCTCTCTCTCCCTCTCTCTGTCTTTCAATTCTTTTTTCTCTCAAATTTATCTTCCTAATTCTCACCAGGTTTTGAATTGTACGTGCATGGATAATTTCAGGAAAAGTGAAACTCACACGAGTTCACAGACATCTGAGCAAACTCGTCATCAGTCTGCTGGCCAGTTTGCTCAAGAGATAAAAAATTGGAACTTGCAGGTATCATCTCACTTCTTTTGACTTTTGTTTTTTTCCCTCTTTCTGAGATCTGTTTGTTATAGCATGCATTTTTGGCTTTGTTAGCAACAATAAAAGTAAACCAACAATTTTCAATATTTTCTCCTCTTCCAAAACAATAAGAAAACCTACAATTCTCTTTGCTGTCTCCATTTTTTTTTATTTTTTTTCTTTTGGTGGTATATTAGATTTTTTATTTATTTTTTTATTTGGACTGGGTTAAGGTTCAGCTGAAAGGTTCAGTTAGGTTCTTATTTGTTGTTTTCTGCTGCTTGGTTTACTTTCATCAGATTGTGAAGCTAAATTGGGTAATTTGTCTTGGACAAGATTTCCTTTCTCATGGGCACTGGTTATGCCATCTCGTTAGCTTTTTCATTTGTTATTTTATTTATTATTTTTTTCTTTTTGGGACGAAAATCTGTTTTGATTGTTTGTATCTATAATGGAAAAATTGGGAAACTTGGAATGTATATGGATGCTATCATGTTACTTCTTTGTATGTGTTCCTCTTCTTTGTTACCTGTCCGCAGTGTTGGTCTAGTTTTTGTTTCTTCCAATCTCTTTAAAATGTCTCTGCCATCCCCCAGTCGAAATATGTTGAGCTTGTTTGGGGGTTTCTGATTTTATTGTGGATTGCATCTCAGGATTCACCTGTGGCAGAATCTATGTCCACAGAATGGACAGATGAGAAGCATAGTTTGTACCTTAAATCTATGGAAACATCATTTGTTAACCAATTATATAATTCCACGCATTTTCTTGATTGGCGCTCCGACAAAAATAACGTGTCCGATATTATATCAACTAGTCAAATACAACGTACTTCTTCCGGCCAGGTCTGAAAAATATTGAAATCTCTATAGTTTTAAAGACTTGTCTTCCCCAGTCTATGTATAATAATCGTTAAATGTGTTTTTGTTCTTATCTATATTGCTCCTTTCTGTTTTTATTCCAGTTTAAGGTTCTTCGAGGTGGTCGCTGGCAGAGGATCAATTTTCAGAGACCTGATTTTAAATCAAATAAAGCACATAATTCTGGTAATCTTTTGGCAAGTCCATGGATCCGGCACTATAAATCAGCAGGCAAGCCCCAAACTGTTGCATCTACAAGTGCTGCAGGGGTTGCAGGAACAGAAAGTCGAGCAACCAATTCTAGAGGGAATAAGGCAGTGTCCTGTCGGACAGCTACTAGTTCAGGGCACTTTGATGCATCTCGCTCTGATTTGTGCCATCATGATATGGTTGGCAGTTGCACAGGTTCTTGCAGCTATTTTCAAATCTTTAGGCAGTGACTTACTAACTTTGCATCCGTTATTTTATACTTCAATATATCTGTCATGTATGCTTGTTATTAATATCACACTGGTGAAACAAAGTGAATCACTTTTGTTGTAAATGAATTAGAGTTCAAAAATATGAAACTATCAGTGAATTAATTTGTTCATTCATCTAAAATTTGACTTGCTTTAAGTGCATAGTTTAACTTGGGATTTGCCACATCCTTTCTTCTATTTCACTCTCTTGCTCAGAGTAAGTTACAATAGTTAGGACTGCTGAAGGTGGTTATGCTAGGAGCTTAGAAATATGGATTTGACATTTGGTCACGGTTCCTATCTATAGAATTGGAATGAATTCATTAAAGGACAGGGACTGCTGGGGTGATTTGTTTTAGGTGTCTATAAATATAGGCAGTAAAATTTTGTGTAATACATATATCTAATATATACATCATAAATAAGACAAAATTGTAGTTATGATTTTACAAAGTTTTTGTTGGGATTACAGCATCATTAAGCTGATTACAGAGTAATGGGTCTAGAATTTCATGTGAAATTTTAATATTCCCAATATGATTCATTTTGCTATTGCAAATTGAAAGCTCTTTAGAGGTCATGATCTTTGCCACAACTTATGCTCTGTACATGCTTTGCGCTTCTTTTGCAGAGGCATCAGGTCAGAACTTCATTGATGAAGAAATTGAAGGGGAAAAAGCAAGCCCAACTTGCAGCTCAAAGAAGATGAAAACACACATAATTGTTGCATCAAGTCGTGATAAGGTAATATGTGCAACTGATAATAAGTATTATTATTTACTAGTCGAGATTACAATATAGCCTGATTGCTAACAGTGGCTCTATACATCTACTATGCTCTTTTAGGTCGTTCCACTCCGAGACAGCAAACCTCCCATGAAAGAAAATGGTCCTGAGAAGTGTGCCTTTGTAGCCAGATAACAAAGTACTTGCAGCAGAGGATCTCAAATCAAGAACGCAATGGCTTGTTTATTTCTAACGCAATGGGTAATGCAGGCAATTCTGACCGTAATCATGATGACTAACCAAAGTTCAAGCAAGTATTTGAATTTATGGTTACTCTGGTTTTGGCATAAAATATAATGCCTAAGACAATGAAGCGGACAACTGACCTTCATCTTCACTCTACTATGCTATCTTCATTTATGTATTCCAGGCGCACTGTTTTGTGTATACATTTTTTTTTTTGGTCTTCAGCAGGTAGTTAATTATGTACGCAGCGTGTTAGATATCTGATAAGTTGGGAAATTGGATATGCTGAAAATTTACTGCATTAGGGTTTTTTCAATTTCATTGTATCGGCTTTAAGAGCTCTGCTTTCCGTATTGATTTAGCAACAGGGAAAGAGGTTCTGATGAATTCTTTCAGACAATCAGTACTTACCATTTGAGTTGCTTTATTCAAGAGTCTTGTGTATGCATCCTTTCTGAGAAAACCAATCAATACCAACTGAAATCAACCAAAAGATAAAATATTTAATTTGAAATTCGCATTCTCACTGATACTTAATGGGCCTTTGGCATTATTAAATTTAGTAAGATTTAGTTTTTTAAATAATTAAATTGTTTTCTTCAAATTATATGACAAGGTGTTTTTAGGAAAAAAAAATGTTTCAGAATTCAAAGGAGGTTGCCCGGTAACTGAGGCACGTAGAGCCAGCAGAAAGTGAGTACTGACTACTGAGTTTAAGTGGTATCTTATTTAATGTGATTAATTATGAATGATCGGTTCAGCAAGATATTTAAATTCAGAATCTCTTTGAAAAATATATCTGAAGTCTCTACCAAATCTTTTGCTCCCCCAAGATACTTTTAAAAAAAAAAAAAAAAAAAAAAAAAAAGAAAGAACAACTATTTCAGTTATAAATTACAATTGATAAATATTTTTTAAAAAAAGTAGGTGAAAATTAGGAAAATAGAAACGTAGACGGCAACACTAAAACAAACTGTCACGTGCTCCATTTGTAGACGATACGTCGGATAATTTTTCTCCCTATATTCCTGATTAAAGACGACAGCGGATCTCCTCCGTTTTCGCTTCCCTGTCTTGATTTTATTTAGCCATTGTAACTTTGTAAGGTACGTTCCTCTTTCTTGATTTCTATTAATTCTAGGTTTTCCTTCTTTCAATTCAGTTTTTAATTTTGTTCTAATCGCCGAATTCCAAATTATTTTCTCTTTGAGATTGATTACAACCAGCTCCAATTTCTTTTGTGGCAGATTAGTTTTCTATTGAGCCTCTTCGATTAAAATAGCTTTCGGAGTTGTTAGAATTTACAATGCCGCCATTTATGCCTGCCCCGAAAGCTTTCGGTGCCTTACTTTCACGTAAAATCCGCATAAGACATTTGATAACTCCTCCCAAACACGATGGGCAATTGCTGAAAATTGATCAAATTCGACGGTTTAGTAGCATAGCAGGGATCCAGACCCCGACTGTCCATAAATTGATTGGGACTACTAAGAATAATATTGATTTCTCGTTAGCTAATTTGTACCATATTAATATTCTTCAAAGGAGGCAGTTTCTTGGATGTGGAGACGGGGAAGAGGGTGGTGTCTTGTCCAAAGTATATGAAGAGCACCGTGTATTAGGGTAATTTTTCTCAGAACCTTTTGGTTATGTTTGGGATTGTGCTTATTAATTTTGATTCATATCTATTTGATTTTTATGGTTTTAGTTACATTTTTCATGAATGTGTTTGATTTTATGGAGACTGTCTGCTACTTCAGTGGCAGATTTCATAGCTATACATATTAAAAAGGAAAGGAGTGTATTTTGCATGCTTGTATTATATCTAATGCAATTTAGTTGTGTCCCTTATGGATACTTGATGAGATTGTGATTAGTTGATACAAATTTTGGTTACCAGCTATTCTCCAGAGCAGTTATTTGATGTGGTTGCTGCTGTCGACTTGTATCATGGGTTTGTCCCCTGGTGTCAGCGGTCAGATATACTGAAACACTACCCAGATGGATCTTTTGATGCTGAACTTGAGATTGGCTTTAAATATCTTGTTGAAAGTTATATTTCCCATGTGGAATTAAACAGACCAAAGTATATAAAGGTAATGATCTTTTGCTGAAACTTAGATTCAAATTTTTTTCAAATTTATTGCTCAGAAGTATGTTTATTTCCTCCATTTTTGTGAACATAAGGTTGAGTATGGTTTTTATTAGTATGATCTATGTTTCATGCACACTAAATCCACCTGTGTATGACACAAATAACATGGGTACTGGTAGGAAATTTGTTTCCAAGATGACTAGCTGAAGACATGTAGTAGCTGTGTCAAATGATAGAAGAGAGAAAAATGCACCCTTGCTACCTCTTTTGAATTTTCAGAATAACAGTTTTTGTTTTTCGTTTTTTTGTTTTTTATGTATGAGCTTTTTTTGTTTATTGGATATTACACAATGAGTAAAATTAGAGAAATTGGAGAAAGTTGACCATATATTTGGGAATGGAGGTAGAAATTTTGAACTGCAATTCAAATGATATGTCATGTCATTATATCTTAAGTTGTCCTACTAGAGAATTAGTCATCTCTAGGTCACTTTTCATATTTGTGATTTGGTGTGCAAGTTGGTTGAATTACCCTGAAGATGGGCTTTCAGTTGCTGTTTTCTTTTTTAGGCTGATGAGTTTGTATTAGTCTTATTTTTCTGTACTGATTTACTTTCAGACAACTGTGTCGGAGAGTACCCTCTTTGACCATCTGATAAATATTTGGGAATTCAATCCTGGACCGGTTCCAGGAACTTGCAGCCTTCATTTTTTGGTGGATTTTAAGTTCCACTCACCACTTTATCGACAGGTAAAATTCCTTTTTTCTTATTTGCATTTATCATCTCTATGGCTTTGTCAAATGTATTAGTAATGCTATATTTGCCTTATTTGTTTATTATGTTTTTTGCGTGTATTTTTATGTTCATGAATTTAATTGTTATGTTAAGAAATTAGTAAGGACATTGATATCTAAAACTAACATTTAATATAATGGAAAATTTTAATTTCTTGAGGGAAAATATTACCAAATGTGTAGTTCTTGCAAGAAACTGATGATGGTTGTGGGCAATGTTTTTAGAGACTACATGTGATACATGTTCTCAATTACCTTTTTCTGGATAAATAGTGCTTGTTCCTTGGGACGAAATTCTAACAATTTGTCAATTTCTATTGCCTGTGCCTTCGTTCCTAAGGCAATAAGAAAAACATTCACAGCCTTGATCACAGATATGAGTTATTATTGGGTTGAACTATTGATTCAAATTGTTTTATCCATGGTTTATTGTACCTAGCATTGAACTTGAGGACACAACACAAACTTGGTAAATCAGACATACTATAAAAACACTGTTATTCGTGGAGGTTTGAGAGGCTTCAGTAGTAATCTGTTCTGTCTTGAGTTGACTTGCATTAGGTATCATTAGATATCAATCTTGTTGCCTCTTGCCTCATTTTAGACCTATTTTTCCTCGTATGGTTGTGGCTATATGATGATATTTGTTATTGTTTATGGGATTTTCACTGTCAAGGTTGTAGGGTTTGGTAATTTGGTTAGCAGTTTCGGTTCTGAACTTTGGTGGACTTATAAGAAAGGTTGGATCTTTTGGTAGTTTAAAATACTTGGATAATTGTAGTTTGTGGTTGTGTGAACGGATCTTTAAGGCTGAATTTTCTATCTCATTGATGAAGAGCAACTTGAATTTTGAGTGTTCTGTTTTACAGGTGGCATCCATGTTCTTCAAGGAGGTGGTCTCTCGATTAGTAGGCTCTTTCAGTGAACGCTGTCGGTTGATCTATGGACCAGGAGTCCCAGTCCTTGAAAATTCTTACAAACAAAGGGCATGAAAGTTTGCTTGTCAATTTAACTATGACTGGCGGTGAATGAACTCCTATGAAGTGCATTTTGAATGATGGGGAGATCAAGTAGAAATGGTCTTGCCTTGCCCACTGGGTGGTTTTTGTTTTGTATACTGCTCAGGCACCGATGTTTTCATAATCATAAAAAGTTAAAAGAACCACATTGGGTATTTTATTTTTCTCGTTCTCTTAACCTTTTGATTAATCTTACTCACATATTTACTTGATTAGTGTGACTCTAGGCTTTCTGAAATTGGATAAATTTTTTTTTTTTGTACTTTACAACCACATCAGCTCTGATTGGATGAAAGGTTACAACAATAAATTATTGTTACGAGATTGTTTTCTGTCATAATAAATTTGGGTACTTACCTTGAATTTATGATTAAAGGTTGCATTGGTTGACTTGATACATGATGTGGAGGAAAACGCAGTTTCCAATTAAATTTGTGTGGATAATTAATAATTTATTGAATGAATTTTGTCCGAATATCGAATTGACGGTGCTTTCCTTCTCTTTTTGGCCCCTTAAAGTGACGGTTCTCAGATGGTGACTGATATCTGCCACTCGTTTACCAGAGAGTTTCTAGAGTGGTGCTAAGCCCCCGATTTGTCTGATTAAAAAACTGTTTTGTTAGTTTAAGTGGTGATAAAAGTGGATATGTGAATTGATGTTGGGAGCTGCTGCTGCGTTGAGACTAGAAATCAGAACCTATCTGTGATGATTGTCAATGGCTACAACTACAAGCCATTGTCTGATAACCTTGTCCTGGCTCAAAATGTTCTGTTGACAAAGAAACTATAGATCCTTTTAGTCGTTTTTTCTGGGTTGTAAAATTGGATTCCACCGGGAAGTTCACCTTAGGTTTATGCTATTTACTTGTGGATGAGCGAATGAGTTCGAATGGAAATATCGATAGGCCCAATCAGAATAACGCTTTCAAGCCAAAAAAAGGCTATCATATGATGCCCCCCATTTTGCAATAACTTGAATTATGTAGTTCAATCATTGAAGAATATGAAAAACCAGCGTCTATTTTTATGTGAACGGCATTAACGAATGAAACTTTTGTGGGACACGTGATGGCATAGGGAAACATTTCTCAAGGATCGGGTGGACAGGTAATGTGAGTGCATGAGGCCGAGATGACACGAAAAAGACGAGTCGTAAGATGGAATAACCAAAATATAGCCATCACCATCACATTCTTCGAACTACCAACTATATGTCGACTTTTTCTTTAGCCTATCGAAGAGCTCATTTTGATATATAAGATCATCAAAAGGAGTTGATATTCAGCATGATCATTATGCGTGTAAATTATAATGGTAGCTGGGAATGTGAATACTTTTTGGTAATTGACAAAGAAAATGTAAGAATGTAAAAAAGAAGAAAAGACAGATAAAAAGAAAAAATGAATTTAAGTTTTAGACAAATTTCTAGTTTAGGAATTTGAAATGGAGAATAATTGTTTTTCTTTTACTTTGAGTTTTATTAGGAAAAAAGAATTGGTTTAAGATTATTTTTAAAGTTAAAATAGGATAATGAATTAAATTAGAGGAGTCCTATTAAGATTAGAAATATGAATCTTGATAGAAAAAAAAATATTTTATTTTACCTATAAATACAAGAGTTAGAACAAATTCAAGGTTATGAGAGAGAGAAGTAAAAAAAGAGAGAATGTCAGGATAAAAGAGATTTTGATGTAATGGTACCACATAGTATCGAGTAAATATCATAGGGGTATTAAAAACTATAAGAACAGGATGTCCGCCTAAGTAAAGGTACTAGGTTGATGGTATGATGAAACACTTGTATCGTATTCATATTGTTATAGTGGCAACTCTCTCATCTGTGAATGTAGACAAATTATGCCGAATCACGTAAAATATCGCGTTGTGTGTGTTACTATTGTTGTTCTTTATTTTATGTTTTATTTATTCGTCTAATTTTCAACATGGTATCAGTAATATTCAGTATTGCTGTCAGATTCTTAACATGGTATCAGAGCAGATTCAGATTTCTAACATGTTATACATCAGATTTGATTTTCAACATGGTATAAGAGTAAATTCTTATTTTCAACAAATTATATTAATATTACCATGAGATATGTAACGCACATAGAAAAACCTAAAATAGGGAGATGAACACACCACCAACGAAGTCGAAACAGTCCAGGAAAATCACGAACACGAAGAACGTATTAAGAAGGAAAATAAATAAATAAATAAATTTGTACATGCATCAACTTAAATTTTGTAAATTGATAACATATTTGGCCGTCATGATCTCACAGCAATCATGTTAGAAGTAAGCAATGATAGCGTTAGTGGAAGTTCAAGAGCTGTCATGATCTAGGGCTTGCCCCTTTAGATGATTAATTGTAAGAATATTCCCATTTACCTCGACACTGACCAATAATTCATGCACTTTGGCCGTTTGGGAGATACTCCAGCTGTGTGATGTGGCATGCTGAATATCACCTCACCACTCCAATGGCGATTATTAGATACTGAGATATTAGACTCATTCACCATCAGCCACACAAATTCTTCACTACGTAAATGACTAACAGCTATAGATTCTCTCTTTTCTTAATAAAACTAAAGCATCCAATGACTGCCTTTCTTTTCTTATTCGGTTTCCCCTTTAATTCCATCTCTTTTAAATTTGTCATTTTTTGTAGATATGACTGAGGAGGGTAAAAAAAAAAAAAAAAAAAAAAAAAAAAAACCAATCATGTGGACTGCTTGACGTGGTTCTAAATGTTTCCTTTCAGTTGGACAATAATGTTCTTCCATTGTTGTTTGATATATACATATCATTTCGGAACTTTGGATTACTTGTATCTGCATTATATAAATAATTTTCTGATAAATAAGAAATTTTTATTATGGGAATATTCCCATAGAAGCATACATGTCGCAAATTAATGTTGTAAGATACTTGTGGTGTGGAGTTCCCCGGATGTTTATTACTTATCCATTTCATGTGCATGTGGTGTTGAAGATAAGGGTGGCCGACTTCTGCAGTTTTAGAGAAAAGAGGTGATAAGCATGCTGGAACGAAAGGATAATAATTTAATCAAAGTCAATAAAAGACACCATAATATTTATCTCTTTCCTCTACTTTAAATTTGTGGTACCTTTTTTCAGTCAGTTTAATACGTAAATCCAGTAGAAAGTGGTAGGGTAGCAATTCTGAGAGGGGCCAAAACTTAAATGATTCATACACTTAAATATCATTAAGCTTAAATATCAATATTGAGTATGAAAGTGTTAATTCTTTATAATTTTGATTCATGTGTTCATTATAATTTGTATAGAAGAACAAAAGAAATAATGGACGATTCTTTTATTTTGATATCCTTCTACTGCTTGATATTAGTATCGTAGTGTCATTAATCAAGGTTGTCAAATTGTCATTGATTGTGCTTCTTGCCTGGTTGTCATGCACAAATATCTCAATTACTTTTCGGTCGCTTTTGAGCAACGAATAATTAAACAAACTTTGATTTATTAACTTGTTTTACTTGTTTAAACATAGTAATTAAGGATATGAAAGAAATCCAGGTTTTGGATCTTTCATCTGGATTATTGGAAATGAACTTCCTAGCTCATTCATGGTAAAAGAAAACTAAACAACTAAAACAATGAGCTTGAATTGGGCAGTACTCTTTTATCAGTTAGATGAAGTAAACTAGTTTACAATATAATAAAAGATACCTCAAGTTATGCAAGAGAAGAAAACTATGCTTTTAAGTTGAAGGCGGCCGTAGCAAGAAAAGAAGAAGGAGCAACCAGTGAATATGAACTTCTTTATATCTTTTTCGCTCTTCTGGTTCTGGTGTCCCCATCAAAGCAACCTCGAACATCAATTTCATATTCTCACGATATTCTTTATACACATATTTCTAATTTCACTTTTATAGTTTAGCGAGGTCACGAAGATACCATAGCTATTGTTACCTCATGGCTGTCAACACAATGGATAGTTACGTAACTTTGCTGCAAATTAAACTAAGTCAGGAAACTTTTAAGATCGATGACAGAATAATGAGGGGAGTATTGACTTTGGGTGGTACCACATATAGTTATAACCCCGTCATGCATATTCATATCACTCAGGTTCGGATTGTGAATCAACTGGGAAAGAATTATTTTAAACGTGGTTAATTTGATAATTTAAGTTTTTTATCAGGAATATCACGAGACTGTTCTCTCTGATTTCTCAGGAACGCACAAGAATTTAAACCATATATGATACGCTTAAGTCACAACTGAGATAATCAACCACAACTCAGTTTTTTCTCAGGAATATCACGAGACTGCCCTCTCTGATATCTAATGGTTCGTAATTTCCATCATTTTTTTATTGTGATCGAGATATATATATCAGACGCGCACGTGGTAGCAACGGGAAAAGTCTCATATTGTTCTATTTACAAGTAATGTAATTACCTCTAATATAAATGTGGAGATTCCTAACGAACCACTACCTGCATTTAACTTTGGGAAAAATGAGACGATCAGACATTTTTATGAAATTAATGAGGGTGACGACCAGCGTTAATACAAGATATTGGATATTAAAGCATTACATGATTACTCGTTGGAAGACGGAGACAGGCCTTTATAAAAGTTGTAATCGCAGTGTCATTACTCGAATAGAATTTAGCAGAAATCAGTGTACCTGTAAATTTTTTCAGCCCCTACCAGGCTACCAACAGTTTTCCTGTTCGCTAGCTTCAAGTTACCCTTTTTTAATTCTGGTACGCTAAAAGGACAACATCCTCTGCCAAAAGGCCCGAGACTATCTTCACGTACAAGAATGGAGGATCAGAGATCATATATTTCACAATAATTAAAGATTTGAACCCTGTCTTTTTATGATGACATGGTAATAGTATTTTTGCAACATTATGATTCATTTGGAAAATTGAGTCACGCGGTTACTTCTAAAGTCGCAAGTGCACTGATTCCTCCGCAGACAATTTCGCGAATTGGCATGCCTGCTAAATCATATAAACCAGAAGAAAGTTTTTCTTCCTGACTCTGCACATTAGAAGATCGTATATTATATATACATAAGATGCCTTCTTTGGCTTCATAAAATGTTCCTCGAGTATATAAGACTTATAAGAAAAATGGTGATACGAGAATTCGAAACAACCAGAGAGATTTGATTGAACTCGACAGAATCAGAACAGATGTATACATGACTTAATGAAAATCAGTAATGTAATGTAAAAGTGCAATAAAATAAAGAGTACAAACATAATTTTTAAGTAGTTCCACAAGTTGAGAGTCAAGTCTACTTCCACTTTTCTCTTATTACTTTGAGAGCTTATAAGAGAATATGTAAATGTCTATACATATTTTCTAACCCCTCTTTCATTGTTTGAGGGGTTATTTATTCAAGTTTTTGGTAAAGGAAAGAAAGACAAATTCAGGATTACGATCAGACTTTCTATGCAATCCCGTGATTTTAGGAATTGAGCGCTAAGATTGCATTGTCAACGATATTGATCTTATCTCTTTCGAAGTATCAGAGATTAAAGTTTATGCTTGATCTGTCGAACAGCTACAATGAGCTTTAGCTGGATCGAGCTAAATCTGGGTCGAACTTAATCTGGGTCGTGCTAATTTTGGGTCGAACTATAGCTCTGGGAGCTTTTTGGCAAAATCACAAACAACATCTGCCTACAGTGTAAGATTTTTTGAATGTAGAATATGAAAACATGCTTATTCAATCCTCTTATATATCGTTGCATTTTATTTCCGTAATGCAATGAATTTTCAATAATCATGGTCAAAGAACATCTTAAAACACGCCTGCGACGCAATCGTGAAGCATTGCAGTAACAGGAGATTTCTCTAGTATAATCTGCGTTTTCAAACATGTATTTCTAATTGAACCACCCTCGGCGCGCGCGTTTGAACACCGCTTCGTCGTTAACTTGTCACATAATAACAGTTGAGAGCTTGGGGCCACCTGGTGCTGAATAAAGCCATGTGTTGCATGGTGGATCCTGGGCACCCTTTGAGCATGTAAGCAGCCGACACCTAGCCTGGCCATCTTATTTTTAGCCATATGCAATTGATAACTCAAGTATCTTGGATGATCTTCTTGTCTCAGTGAAATGAAGTCAATATCGGGCAGATGGCACGTGAACACGTGCGAAGAAATCTTAAGAAAGTTGACACGTACGTCTCAGGTGGCCCGTTTGCTGCTGTAGATTTAACCCTTCCTCTCATGCATGATTGGTGACGTTGAAATGGATGTCATATCATATCCTTAAAAGGGAAAACAAAATCATATGATAACTTAGCTAACAACTAGCAATATGTTTAGCTTGTGATTGTGAAAGTCTACGATCGAAGACTGACCTATAATGTATGCAAGTTTCGGACTTTCTCCCTGATACTGCATGCCTTGAGGTAATCAGGATTCAGGTTGCTGTAGTAAGTTAATGCTATAACAAGTGGTTACCTTTTGCAACATAGAATATATGAGGAACATGGGTGGGAGCAGACTATTGAATTGATCATCGAGCTGGATGGATCGTGACCGTGAATGTGGTTTCAACTTTACATGAGTCCTTTCCCAACCACATTTTGATTAAGAGTAAATGTAATACAAGTACAATAGAAAATGAAAGAAAAAAGAGTGATGGCATTAGCGCTTCACATGTCAAAACTCAAAAGTACGGTAATATATTTACTCTTAACACATAATAACTAAGTAGGCTGCAAACAAGGTATCAGCTATTCGTATGTTAAAGTTAAACAACACAGCTTTTAGTTTTAACGTAATACAGTATGGGGACATTTGGATCATATAATTTTTTTTATCTTAGTAATAAGATTATAACTAGAAAGAAAGATTACATTATAGATTACCGGAAATAAAGATTGCTACGGCGGAGATGGTCGACCAACAGCAGAGGGAAGAGGGAGAAGTTAGACTAATGAATGCAAACAAAACAGAAAATGAAAAATACAATGGAAAGAGGGTGAGGGACTTACTGGAAATGGCGAATGGAGTGTTGTCCGGATCAAATAGATGGAAACGAAGACTTACGGCGCTACGGCGAAGATGGTCGACCAATGGTAGAGGCAAGAGCGAGATCTTAGACTAACGAATGTAAAACAAACCCAAAATGAAAAATACAATGGAAAGAGGGCATTTGACTTACCAGAAAATGGCAATCGGAGTGATGAAGTCGCGAACGAGATCAAGAAGAAGAAGACTAGCAGTGACAATGGAGGTTTAGAGCAAGAGTCTCAGTCGAAATGTGTATTAGGGCTGAGAATTTTTTTCTTTTTATATTATAGTTTTAGTGAAATAAAAAGGCATATTGGTCACAATATGCAAATATGTGAGGATAATATGGGCACACCAATATTTAGTGGCATTTTTGAAAATATTGATAATAAGTAGGGCAATTTTTTTCGAAAAATTAAAAAACTGAGGACAAATCCGCCTTCTTATGTAAATTGGGTGTTTTGTAATTATTAACAAAGCTAAAGATATTTTTGTCCACATTGTCCACTGTTTTGGGGCAAAATTGGACAGAAATTTGGATTACTGAAGTAATATTTTAATAACACCCTCCCCTTAGAAAATATTATTCCTGGTGATTTACCCCCAATTAGGCATTGTTTGACTTTTTTTTTCTGAGAATGTTTTTTACAAAACAACCAAACATGGTTATTTACTCAATTTAAATTATATTACCCCCGTTATATAATATCAATCCGATCCAAACGGCCCTATAATATATAGAGTTGAGCATGTTTTTTCTTGTTTCTAAAAGTTAAAATTCTTCCCAACTTAATAACCCATCGATCTTGGGGAGTCGATATACATCAGAGAATAGCCAATTCTTAACCTGAAAAGACAATGGGTATACCAAACACAACAATGATTATAGCACGAACTGCTGGGTGTTTTTGTGGGGTTGAGTGGTCTTCAATAACTCAAGTCTTTTTCCAACTTTGTTCACATGGATTAGATTATCGTGCCTCGTTTCAATAGGTATATGATTCTGGCGGGCCATTTCTTACTTGGTGGTTGCTATGGACTGCCACATCATTGCTATTTGACCATCCCTAAAATGGCGTGAAAAATGTGCTATAATCCAACGTCAAACATTATATTAAATTGGTGTAAATGAATAGTATCCTGCTAAATTTGACGTGATACTGTTCACTTACACCATTTGGTGTGACACCGTTCATATACTATAAAAAATATATTTTATTTTCTTATTTTTGTTATTTATATTTATGTTAATTTGATTATTATTTATAATAGTTATATAATTCAAAAAATGACGAAAAATAAAAAAATGATCGTAATATTGATGCATCGACTGAGAATCAGATGGAGGCATCAATTCCCAAAGTTGAAATTGTCATAGATGAAAATGTCCGATTTTAAAATTTTCTTGCTCCACATAGACAAATAAGGATAAAGAAACTCACCATGCTCTTCAAAATGCATTAATTGATCATTTGTGAGAAGAATATACTAATTTGGAAAATTAAATTACTATCAATATGAAATTTTACTTCTGTGTTGTTGTTGTTTTTTTTTTTTTTTTGACATTTTATATTAGATGTAATGTTTTTCTATATTAAATGTAATGTTTATTTGATTAGATAAATGCTTAATTTTATTAAATTAGTATAATTTTTAAAGTAATTATTATTTAATAAAAATATCATTCATAATATTTAATTAATATATACAAAAATAATTATTGAAATAGATTAATTGTTTATTATTAATAGAAAGAAAAAGAGAATATTCTAAGGAATATTTTTTTTGTGTAATATTTGATGCAATGAGATGGAGATGCAATAGTGAAATACACACAAAATTACATTAATTTGGTGTGAAACTTGCACCAATTTAGTGTTTGTGGTTGGAGATGGTCTTAATGATTAGAGATGGTGTTAAACCCTATCCACCATATGCTCAAAATATTAAAATCTAAACTGAAAATAATTTTCAAATTTTAAAATTATATCAAATATTTAAATATTTGTAATATTAAAAAATCTCAGAATTAAAAACACAAAATTTAGATTTTTTTTTTCTTTCACTTAAATTAAAAGAATCTTCTAATCATTGACAATTGTTGGTGAAAGTACATTGTCGACGTTGTGGCTAACTTAAAAACTTTGAAATAACATATTTGAATCACTATAATTTAAAAATATATATATATTTCAATTAAAATATAATCAAAGAGTGAATGGTTTAAGAATATAATTAGAAAAATCTGGATATTATATTTTCTTGTAAATTTTAGTTTAAAATAGACAAAACTTTTTACAAGTGTAATATATATGTCATATAACCAATAAGACATCTTAAATAGATTGAAAAAAATATGTGGGGCCAGCTGTGGGTCTCCCGTATCCGAAGGCTCTGGAAGTGGACCACCAGGATTAATACAAATGTCAAATCCAGCTAGCAAAGATGTTGACAAGCCCTGAGATGGAATGAATGAGGTAAGAGTTATAAGGAGGCGGTGAGTGCACCAAAAAGCTTTGGGACCCATGATCGGGAGAGTTCCCCGTCTGCACAAACAATAAGTAAGCGTGTCCGTACACACCAGCAAATATGGGTCTCACGCCAAAACAGTGATGACCAGAGCAGCCATCCTATCTCGGAGATCCTAAGAATTTTATCGTTGGTGAGCTGGATTCCATCTCTGATTTCCCCCTATTTTAATTATATACCAGTAGTATTTTCTGGTTTCAATTTGATGAGATATTTCCTCTTTAGTTGCAGTTGATACTGCTTTTTTATTCATTAGCCCCAAAAGTCAGGTTGTAATTGTATACTTTCTGGATTCTCTTTCTATAACTATATCTCAACGAATCCTGACATTAACAATACAATACAATACGTAAGCAGTTATGGGTAACGATCGCACAGAATCCAGACTTTGTTTCCTTCCCAACTTCTCATCTCTCTTCTTTTCATTTCCTAAAAGCTATTAGCTTATTACAAGGTCATATTATTTTAAGAAACCGCAAGTCGTTTCTAATATCAGCATGTGAATCACAAAAGGGTTGCCTATCTAAACTGGCCATTAAAAGTTGATTACAAAATCTAAGAAGAGTTTATCTCTTTGACCCATAATTTCAAACTGATGTGATTTGTATAAATGAACATTTTGGAATACCTTTCACAATCCATGAGCAGAGCTCTATCATTCACTTATTTCTAGTAAAATCAAGAAAGCAGAACAAGGTTTCTTAGAATATTTAATTTATTTTTCACTTCAATTTTATCAGGACGAAGTAAATTTCTGGATGGCTAAAGGAATATGTTTTACTCTGGTCAATTTCATTCAGAATCAGCCAATATGCCAGCACATATATGCTTCATTTTCTTAACACAGATGCAATTAGAAAATTAACTCAATGGCATTTATTGATTCAATTCCCAAGATCCTGCACGTTGGGCTGTAAAGGATTCATAATTGCTAAGCTTTGATTTTTCTTTATCTTTCTTATCTGGATACCATAGCTATTAATTTATATTGAGTTCACATTAGGGATGAGAAAATAAAAATGAACTTGTATATCTAACTTTATATTGGGGAAATCTTAGTGGATACAGGGAATGATCATAGAGGTTTAAGTGAGAACTGGAACCATGGATGGAGAAAATGGTGTGCGTATGAATATAACTGTATATTTATACTGCGCCAAAAGTGACGTATACATTTTCTTTTATCTTTATCCTGCCGTGATTTAGCTCTATATAAAGAATCTGCTTGTCCCTCCAATGACTCGAGACACCACAGCGCAAATCTTACATTTAACCTCAGGCTAACTCAACTCACTCACCTCTGACAAAGAGAGAGCTGGAAGACAGAGAGATGGTTGGAAGTTTGGTTTTTGTTTTCATATTTCTCTTTTCTCTAACATCATATTTATCCTTAAGAAGGGAGAAGAGAGAACCACAAAGAAGAGCTAAGCTTCCTCCAGGTTCAATGGGATGGCCTTTCATAGGAGAGACTCTTCAACTGTATTCTCAAGACCCTAATGTCTTCTTTGCTTCCAAACAAAAAAGGTTTCAGTTATCTTTTCATCTCCTACCTGCTGCTATGTTATATTTATGTTTTCTTCTGTGCATGTATATACTGAAATATGTTGGACATGGTTTAGGTACGGAGAAATTTTCAAGACTCATATTCTCGGCTGCCCGTGTGTTATGTTGGCTAGCCCTGAGGCTGCTCGCTTTGTATTGGTGACACAATCTCGTTTGTTCAAACCCACGTATCCAAAGAGCAAAGAACGTTTGATCGGTCCCTCTGCACTCTTTTATCACCAGGGAGACTACCATCTTCGTCTAAGGAAGTTGGTTAAAGGATCCTTGAGCCTTAATGCAATTCGTAACTTGGTTTCACATATTGAAACGGCAGCAGTTTCCGCCCTAGACTCGTGGGACGGCGGGCGTGTCATTAACACGTTTCAGGAAATGAAAAAGGTTTAGTTTGGTTCAATGTCGTTCATATCAATAATTGAACAATTTTTATATACTTCTTTTCTACTTTAGAACACCTAATTTGATTCTGCCTTTTGTGGCTTTCTGAGAAGAAGTTTTATCAAGCTTAATATTCCTCATGTGCGTAACTAACATAGTTCTCAATAAATTACTTTTGTCCTTTGCAGTTCTCGTTTGAAGTAGGTATACTAGCGATTATCGGACATTTGAAGGACCATTACAAAGAAGAGCTCAAGAAAAACTACTGCATACTTGACAAAGGCTACAATTCGTTTCCTACAAACATCCCTGGAACTCCTTACAAAAAGGCCTTACTGGTAAGAAAATTGTATGTCAGACTCATAACAGTAGTCTTGTTTCTTCTATTTCTAAGCTATAGAATATATAGCATCNAAGGATTCATAATTGCTAAGCTTTGATTTTTCTTTATCTTTCTTATCTGGATACCATAGCTATTAATTTATATTGAGTTCACATTAGGGATGAGAAAATAAAAATGAACTTGTATATCTAACTTTATATTGGGGAAATCTTAGTGGATACAGGGAATGATCATAGAGGTTTAAGTGAGAACTGGAACCATGGATGGAGAAAATGGTGTGCGTATGAATATAACTGTATATTTATACTGCGCCAAAAGTGACGTATACATTTTCTTTTATCTTTATCCTGCCGTGATTTAGCTCTATATAAAGAATCTGCTTGTCCCTCCAATGACTCGAGACACCACAGCGCAAATCTTACATTTAACCTCAGGCTAACTCAACTCACTCACCTCTGACAAAGAGAGAGCTGGAAGACAGAGAGATGGTTGGAAGTTTGGTTTTTGTTTTCATATTTCTCTTTTCTCTAACATCATATTTATCCTTAAGAAGGGAGAAGAGAGAACCACAAAGAAGAGCTAAGCTTCCTCCAGGTTCAATGGGATGGCCTTTCATAGGAGAGACTCTTCAACTGTATTCTCAAGACCCTAATGTCTTCTTTGCTTCCAAACAAAAAAGGTTTCAGTTATCTTTTCATCTCCTACCTGCTGCTATGTTATATTTATGTTTTCTTCTGTGCATGTATATACTGAAATATGTTGGACATGGTTTAGGTACGGAGAAATTTTCAAGACTCATATTCTCGGCTGCCCGTGTGTTATGTTGGCTAGCCCTGAGGCTGCTCGCTTTGTATTGGTGACACAATCTCGTTTGTTCAAACCCACGTATCCAAAGAGCAAAGAACGTTTGATCGGTCCCTCTGCACTCTTTTATCACCAGGGAGACTACCATCTTCGTCTAAGGAAGTTGGTTAAAGGATCCTTGAGCCTTAATGCAATTCGTAACTTGGTTTCACATATTGAAACGGCAGCAGTTTCCGCCCTAGACTCGTGGGACGGCGGGCGTGTCATTAACACGTTTCAGGAAATGAAAAAGGTTTAGTTTGGTTCAATGTCGTTCATATCAATAATTGAACAATTTTTATATACTTCTTTTCTACTTTAGAACACCTAATTTGATTCTGCCTTTTGTGGCTTTCTGAGAAGAAGTTTTATCAAGCTTAATATTCCTCATGTGCGTAACTAACATAGTTCTCAATAAATTACTTTTGTCCTTTGCAGTTCTCGTTTGAAGTAGGTATACTAGCGATTTTCGGACATTTGAAGGACCATTACAAAGAAGAGCTCAAGAAAAACTACTGCATACTTGACAAAGGCTACAATTCGTTTCCTACAAACATCCCTGGAACTCCTTACAAAAAGGCCTTACTGGTAAGAAAATTGTATGTCAGACTCATAACAGTAGTCTTGTTTCTTCTATTTCTAAGCTATAGAATATATAGCATCTCACAAACTGACCATTTTACTATAGGCAAGAAAAAGACTAAGTCAAATATTGAGTGATATTATTCGTGAAAGGAAGGAGAATGGATTAGTTGAAAAGGATCTCTTGGGTTGTTTGTTGAACTCCAAAAATGAAAAGGGAGAAGCACTTACTGATGACAAAATAGCAGATAACACAATCGGAGTGCTTTTTGCTGCTCAAGACACTACAGCTAGTGCACTGACATGGATTGTGAAGTACCTCCATGACAACCCGAAACTTCTAGAGACTGTAAAGGTATTGTCTATAATAAGCCAAATCATACGGGGGGTCTAGAACAAGTCTTTCTCACCCTCTTCTAAATTTTTGAAATTCATATCAAGGGTTCAGTGAATGTATTAACTTATGCATTTGTGATGCCGTCTTTGTAGGCTGAACAGAAGGCCATCCATAAATTAAATGAAGAAGGTAAACAACCGTTAAGCTGGTCTCAAACGAGAAAAATGCCAGTCACTACCAAGGTAAGTTGTCTGGTAAACAAACACATGGCAAAGAGTCAAAAGACATAATTATTTTGTTACAATAAAAAGCTTTTTTTTTTTAGCTTTTTTTTTTTTTTTTTTTTTATCGGATGAGTTTCTAACAACAGAGAAACAAGGACTTATTCAGGTTATATTAGAGAGTTTAAGAATGGCAAGCATTATATCCTTCACCTTTCGAGAAGCAGTGGCTGATGTAGAATACAAAGGTAAGATGATCAAATTATAATCTCCGTAAAAGTTAAAAAAAAATGTAGTTTACAACCAAAAAAAAAAAAAAATCTTCAGGAAGGAAAAATGGGACTATTTCACCCCAGAAGTGCTGTCTGGGCATGCAACTCTTTAACTCTGAATCAAAGGTCATCTTTCTATATTTGGATAACCAAATGAATTCTGAACCCAAAAAAAAACTTGGACATATCTTGACATTAATTTTATAGCAGCCAATAGTTTTGAGTGATTATTAACAAGAAAATGACAATTTAAGGAGATATCTAACGGTAGGATTGACCACAGGGTACCTGATTCCAAAAGGATGGAAAGTGATGCCTTTGTTCAGGAACATTCATCACAATCCAGAATTTTTTCCTGATCCTCAAAAATTTGATCCTTCAAGATTTGAGGTATGAGCTGGCAAAGATGTTTGTGTTTGTGTTTGTGTTTCTTTTTTTCTTGTGTTTTTTATGAAAGTGCATACGCGTAAGGCTAAAGCACTTCTAAGATTTTTGCACAGTGTTTATGGTTAAGGTGTTTCTGAGTTTTAAAACACGAGTTTTTTCCTGAAATTTTGTTTGTTTTTTTATGGTATATGAAGGTTGCGCAAAAACCCAACACATTTACGCCATTTGGAAGTGGAGTACATTCCTGTCCTGGAAATGAGCTTGCCAAGCTGGAGATGCTTGTCATGACCCACCATTTGGTCTCCAAGTTCAGGTAGTGTTGAAAATCACTCATCTATATAATAATCACTTCTGTCTGCCATTCAACAGCACATCCTGTTTAACAGTAACTCAAAATCACAATAATTTCCTTCAATTAAAAATTATATACCTGAATGTGACAAATTTTAAATACAATTTTAAAGCATAAAGAATCTTCCTGATAGAGTGTTCATGGTTAAACAAATATCATTGAAGTAACTGTATAACGATTGACAAGAATGTTTTTGTTGGTTTTTGTAGGTGGGAAGTGATAGGATCCAAAAATGGGATTCAGTATGGTCCATTCCCAATCCCTCAACAAGGACTTCCTGCTAGATTTTGGAAAGAATTTACAAGCCGAAAGGAATCACGGGTGCCTACCCACTCTAGATTTTAGTCTCTACCAATACTCTTCATTATTTTTTGCCAAGCAATTTTCATTGTATTAAAGAGGTTAGATCATCCCCTTCAAGCATTTGGGGATAGAATTAGAGGATGATTGCTTTTCTCCTCTTTTTTATCTTATCCCGTTGTCTTATCTCTTTCACCCGTGCAACGTGCACTTTTGTAACCTCAATTTGTATGTGTAATGTATAATAAAAGAAAAGGTTCTAATGGACCAAGCTAATGTTATAACGAGTGTTTCTCGGACAAAGAATCAAAGAGAAAAAGAACATTACTCATTGTGAAGATTCTTTTGATTTTGGTCTAATCATGAAAGCTCAGATTGCCCCACATCTGAATAAGCGAAAAAATAAAAATAACCATCACCACATCTTTGTCCCCAAAGAGCAACTAATCATGCGCTCAGCAGTCCAGAAGAGGATACAAGAAAGCCAAATGTCATTATATGATTGGCCAAGTTGCAAGAAAAAAATAGTGCCTCCGGCTGGAGAGCACTCTCTAAAAATCAATCACTGCATACTATATTACAAGGACCCTACTTAGATGTGGCTGCTAGAGCTTGGTAGTAATGATTAATGAATCTACTGGCTTTTCTACAATAGCACAGGTTATGATATTTTGAAGGAACTGTAGGCCTGCTGTAACTACAAGCAATGGACCTTTCTTCCCAAAATACATGGTTAGATGTATTAGATTAACGTTGGATATTAAACGTGTAGCTCAATGCACAAGCAAATGATCAACAAGCATTGTCATTATTCTTAACAGAAAAATAAAAACAGTCAGAAAGATGCAGTGTTCACTCATAAACGCAATATGGTTTTTCATGTACACTATTTATGACATTTACGTATGTATAACTTCTATGGCAGTTTGATCTTATCTTAGACCAATCCAAAATACCTTATTATTTTACTTCTGAAGAAAAGCTGTGAAGACATAATCGGATTAGTTTAATCATGTAGATGATGAGTATTTCATAATGGCTGCAAGAATCCTCTCTTTGTCTCTGGTCGGGAATGCTTCAAGTAGAACTCCATTTTTGTAGAAGTGGAAAAGGGGAACCGTCTGGATCAGTTAATGGTCATCTTAGTTACAGCCAATGAATCATGATGCAGGAAAAAGAAAACTAAGAATGCTTCATAGATAAGTTGCATATGCCGATACCATCCAAATTCAAACAAGGAGAACATAATTTTAAAAAAAAAAGACCACAGAAATTTTTATGAGAAAATATCTTATTTTTCCTTTTTTTTTTTTTTTTTTTTTTCATGTTTCTCAACTTTTCTGGAAAGCTATAAACCTAACAACGTCGAGCCTTCTTCTCCATCCGAATTAAATTTTTTAATTATCTTAGCAGGTGTGGTTTGATGTAAAACAAAGCCAGTGATGCAGCCATCTTGAAGCTCGTTTCATATCAAAGAATCAGAGTCAGATAAAATAAAAATTTCCCAACAGCAACTAAGTGATTAAAAAATAAATTTAACTTCTTTACTTCCAAGAATTTGAGATTCGTAATGTATATAAGCCNATACCATCCAAATTCAAACAAGGAGAACATAATTTTAAAAAAAAAAGACCACAGAAATTTTTATGAGAAAATATCTTATTTTTCCTTTTTTTTTTTTTTTTTTTTTTCATGTTTCTCAACTTTTCTGGAAAGCTATAAACCTAACAACGTCGAGCCTTCTTCTCCATCCGAATTCAATTTTTTAATTATCTTAGCAGGTGTGGTTTGATGTAAAACAAAGCCAGTGGTGCAACCATCTTGAAGCTCGTTTCATATCAAAGAATCAGAGTCAGATAAAATAAAAATTTTCCAACAGCAACTAAGTGATTAAAAAATAAATTTAACTTCTTTACTTCCAAGAATTTGAGATTCGTAATGTATATAAGCCATGCCATCAGCACACAATTATTTAAAATAATAAACCAAAGGCAAAAATTTACCTTTATTCTTAATCGTTCAGCTACCTCAGATTGTTCATCATACTCATCAATTACCTGAAGCAGACAGCATAAAATCCAAATAGAATGTTCAGTAAATTTTTCTAAATAGCAAAGCACAAAGAATTCATCAGAAAAAGAAAAGGATAAGGTGAAACCCAAATTCTTTTAGCTATTTGTAAGAGAACTCCAAGCTCAGCTGATTACCAACTGTCAAGGGCAGGGCAAGACCCGCTCTGGAGGATTCCTCAATAGGGACCTTATTTTCTATAAACCATAAGCCAACACTTTCAGATCAAAATCCTCAAACATAAGCGGTTGTTATTCACTGTCAACAATGAAATTGACATACACAGTTCAAATAAGAACACTTCTGATCATTCATCCAGTCTTAAGTAGTCCTGTTTTCCATATAGCACTCTTGACATTTTAAATATAAACAAGTTATAAGCAATCTGGAAAAGTTAAGCTTATGAAAGTACTCACATTATGTTTTAAGAAGATTACTGGAGCTTCCTCATCACCAGAACCCCTGCATAATTTCGCAAACCCTTGCTCTATATACTTGCAGCTTCCACAAGAAGTTCGATAAAAATCTACCACAACTAAAGAATCTGTTTCTTTGGCCATTTCAAGAATTTTGAAGAACTCTTCATCGGTCTTAAATTCTCTAACACATTCAACTGGACAGAGATCGTCATCTTCATCAGATAATTCCCCTTGATTGCCATCAATGACACCTCTGATTTTTGGAGGTTGTTGTGTGTGGCTAATTTTTAAAAAGCCCAAACCTGTACTGTTACTGACAGATTGAATTTTGGCCCTCATGCAAAAGAAAGATTTAGCAAAAGTTCTATCAGGATGCAAGCTGGGTGCCATACAGGAAATTCTGGAATCAAGTTCTCCACCTGGATTCTTTCCAAACTTGAAAGAGGCCCTTTTATAAAGAGTATATTGATTTTGCATGACAGCATACGGAAAGCCTTCACAACAACGATCTATATAACACTTAAAACTAACCATCTACAACAGCATTTCATTAAATAATTTGTGGATGGAGCAATTGATTCCAAATCATTCATTACTCCTCTATCTCATTCTTTTGGCTGAGTGAAATATAACCTGATAGCACTTAAAGGAAAAAGAAAAGGTAGATATTAGAATCTCCATATAGTGGCCAAATATTTGATATTGTAAAAATAAAAAATCAACAAATTCAAAATAGTCCAAAACATTCCATCCCTGAAAATTTTAAACAAAATAATTCCAAAATACACAGAACTATTTTCTCTGCATAGGATTCAAGCAGCAGCAAGAGGTGGAACACTGTCCAAAAGGATCGGTTTCAAAGTATTTTCATGATAAACAACTACATTAACTTTCCTCCATCATATAATAACTACTCTTATCATAAACTGCACGGTCCTTATGAGTACATTTTTACCATGTTAGTCAGAATTGCAAGCCAATACTGAGGCAGGAGATAAGGCCTTACTATTAAACCTAGCAAGTGAGAATGAACAGTTTATCAACTTATAGTCGAATAAAGATGGAAAATTTATGAACATAATTATGTATTCAGATAACAATAATCGTTCAGTGAAGTTTAGTAATTTACAGGATAAGAAACTAGGATGGCACCTAATTAACGATATGAACAGGAGAAACGAAATGGAATTCCATACAAATGAAATCAAATAAGTGAATAGCGCTCACCAGTAACCAGAGGCAGTTAAAGAAGCGCCTGCATTGCAAAATCCGAAGTGAAGAAGCTTCGAATGAGAAAAGGACACGCCATTACCATATCCACTTTGCTGTCCAGATATCTTTTCTATCATCAACTTGGTTTCAGTAATACGGGTGATAACCGGGTTTGTACAAGTTTGACCTCTAAGGCCCAATGCCAAACATCAATTAGCCCATCAAGACAGCCTATGGCTGTGATAAGATAGGCCCATCCTAAATAAATTCCTAGAATGCACTATAGACTAAAGATACCTAGCTTTTTAATTAATTTTATAATGATAAATTTATTCTTATATTAAATTAATTGTTAATTTTCTATTGTTTTTAACACCATAATAATAATATTTTTCTTACCACCACGTATACTTAATCAACCTTGTAATAGGGAGCCACTTGCAGGTTTGAGGTGACCATGGCCACCTTAGGCCTGTATGTGATTCCACCATTGCTTCAAAGTCTTGAGATTATTTGTGAGAATTTTTTTAGTTTTCATTTTTTTTGAACTTCAATTTAATTATCTATAATTTTACTTTTGGAATAATGATGGTGTAGTATATAACATAAGTAAAGAGAATGAAACGTTAACTCTTTTAAAATATATTTTAAAAAATTTGAATGAAGGGCATTTATGGAGTACCATAAGAAAAAAAATTTGATTTTAAAACTTTAAAATGAATTTTTTTTAGTCCATTAATGGAATGTCAATAGTGCCACTCAAATTCGTTTCCTCATAAGTCATAGCCGTCTACTGTCATTTTCAATGTCTCAAGGAACAAAGGTGAATGTAAATATAACAATAAAAAATAATAATAATAATAATAATAATAATAACTGATCCTGTGACCCTAAAAAGTTAAGAGAAAGGTGTCCAAGTGTGTTTATGAGTTCAATTACTTAAGCCTTTACCAATATACACTCAATTGGATTAATGCACTTAACTGTAATAAAAATTATAAAGAAAAGAAATTGGGTCATATGGTATGTTTAATTATTTACCAGTAATATTTTATGATATGACAGGAAATAACAAAATAGAAAAAAAAAAAAAAAAAGTTTAAATCAATGCACACTTTTTTTTTTTTTTTTAAAGTAATATTGCATCCACAATTTTTTTATACAAACTTCTTCTCACAAACTTATATGGCAAAAAAAGATTGGGTGAAAGTTTATTTTAAATTTAAAATCATCTAATCATCTTTTGCCCAGAGGTGAACGGTTTTGGGTACCCTATGTTTTTTGGGAGAATCGAAATCAGAATTGTAGGTTCCTAAGGAAAGGAACAAGAACCGGAACCGGAACCAATAGCCGATAGGTTCCAATTCTTTAATTCTTGGAACTAGAACCTGAAATGCAGGTTCCATTCCTTACCCGGGTATCTTGTAAAAAATCAGTTACCCCCTTATTAGTTTAAAAAATGACAAACACACCTTAAAATTTTACAAATACACCCTTGACAAATTAAGAAAACCTTAAAATTATAAATATGTATATTTTACAAAGTATAGTTATGGACTTAATTTTGGGAATTAAATTTTAGTAAACTTTATTATCCAAAAATACAAATATTATATAATATTATAATTATTAGAGTGAAAATAAAGTTAAATTAACATTAATTGTGAATTTGTGACAAAAAATAAAATTAAATATTAATATTAATATGATTTATGAATATTTAATTAAATAATTAGTGTGACTCTAACTTTAAGTTTTCTTAATATAACGTGACTCATGAGATATGAGTTGTCATACTGTAATGTATTAATCATTTAATAAAGTAATGTAATAATTTAGTTAATTACTAATGTTTATAATGTAATGTTATAATTAATTAAGTAATCATACTATAAATCTATAATGTAATCTTATAATTAATTAAATTTCTAATAATTTAATTAAATAATGTACTAATGTAGTAAATTACTAATGTTTATAATGTAATGTGATAATTAATTGGCTAATAATTTAATTATAATATAATGTTATAATTAATTAATTAATCATACTGTAAATTCATAATGTAATGTTATAATTAATTAAAATTTCTAATTATTTAATTAAGTAATTTATTAATGTAGTAAATTACTAATATTTATAATGTAATGTTATAATTAATTAATAATAAGGTAATCATTTAAATTATAATGTACTAATGTTTACCAATTTATCATATAAAATTAATTAATTACTAATTTACTATAGATATACAGTAAAACCTCTTTATAGTCATAATGGTAGGATCAAACTAATTTATTACTATAAAGAGGTTATAACTTAATAGAGGTATAGTTATGAAAATTAATATTTTGATTTCTTATTTTATAATTCATGTTTTAATAGTGTGTATTATGATTTCAATTAATTGTTGTAGTAGCATTTGTATTAATATTAGTATTACACAACTATTCTGTTCCTACCACCAGCTAGCACTTCCAAAATCCAGCTGTGTGATGTAGGCATCATTAGAAATTTCAAAGGTTACTATAGTCAATGTTTTAATCGCCTATTTTTGAAACAGATAGAAGATCATGTATTAGAACCAGAAAAAAAAGTATCTTTAATAAAATTGTAAATGCAATTGCTGCATGATCAATTGATGTGAAGCCACAGACAATTGTCAATTGTTTTAAGCACTACAAAATTAGGACCTTCGGTATCGATGAATTGCAAGTTACAAATGAAATGGATGTGGAGAATAAAAAACTCATTACAGAATTGAGTGATCAGATTCGACAAATTCACTACATTAATCGAATGCATATTAATGTCTTTCTCGATCATCCAAATAAGCAACAAGTTGTATATGCTTTAACTGAAGAATAAATTATTGCTGCAATTATACAAGAAGAGAAGGAAATAATCTCGAGGATCATAGTATAGAAATACAAAAAATTTCGTGCCATAAAGCTCTAAACATACTTGAAAAGCTATAAATATTTTGGTTTCAACAAGAAGATATTCATACTAACGAATTATTACATACCCGCAAGTTAAAAAATGTCGTAACAATTCTAAAGCATAAATCATTGTTCCAAACAACTTTAAAAAAATATTTTATTTCATTTTAAACTTTTAATATAACGTAACATATTTTTTTTTTGCAATATACAGATAATTATTATTATGTGGAGATAACTTTCCTTAAGACGGGAATTAGAAAAATTATAACTTATTACAATGTGGAGTTTATTCTTACTTATAACTATCATAAATTAGGACTAGAATTTTTTATGACTATGTAGAGTTTATTCCTATATAGAGTATTACTATAGAGATGTTTTACTGTACTTAGAACTTGGTAATTGAAATAAACAACTAACTATTATTCAATCAACTATATTATTTTATTCAAAAATAATTCTTTTAATAACATTAAAACACTTTTAATTTGATCCTAATTCCAATTATAATTTATATACTTAATTAATCAAAAACTTTAATATTATAATAAATTAAAGTTTTTTATATGTAAAAATTTTAATATATTAATTTGATTAGGTTATTATAATATATTAAAGTTTTTTATATAATAAAGTATATATGTATAATTAATTGTATATATATTTGATTAGGTTATTGTTATTATTATACTATAATTTTTTATATAACATTTCATCCCATTTGACCATTTTAAATTTTTTATATGAAAAATTACGAAGACCCCCAATTTTTTACAGATATTTCATTTAAATCTAGGTTCCAATATAGTTTCCTACTCGAGTACCCAGACTCGGTTCCAAGACATCTTCCATTTAGGGTACCCATTTCAGGTTCCCATCACAGGTTTCGATTTCGATTCTTGCACATATAGGAATCAGAACTGGATACGTATAGTAATAGTTCCAAAAAATTGGAATTGGAACCAGAACCTACCTGCACAGTATCGGTTCCGATTCTACCTGCTACCTATGCTCACTCCTACTTTTGACAAATAAGTTTGTGAGAGAATGTTTATATAAAAAAGTCGTGAGCATAGTATTATTATTATTATTATTATTATTATTATTTTAACTAATAGACGAAGGAAACTGAACTTTATCAGAGGTAGAGGTCTAGGCATTAGCAGCACATAATGTGCTTATTACTTAACATCACAAAAGGAAAAGTCGTCAGGTTGAAGTATGTGTGGAACAATCAACAACTTAAAGAGCAAATTAGTAGTAGGAGCAGGTCAGTTAGGTAAGCCAGCAACATAAAGCCAATGGCCAACGAAGAGAGCATCACAATTGAGATTGAATCAAAGAACTCAGTTTTCAAGTCAAATTTCTGTGGAATGGCAGAGCAAGTATCTCCACTGTTCACAACAACCACCTGAAGCACATTCTGGGGTACATTTCTCCTTCAGGAACCCAACATACCCGAGTCAAAACTCAGAAGAGAGAAATAAAAAACTTGTTAACATTTGTTAAGCCCAAATGGTAAAAATGGGCCCACAGAAATGTTAATAGAATAGGCCCATGTCTATCCTCTGTTAAGAGTTAAGAGTTGGGATGCGTGTCCGTTCCTCATCTAATCCCTGCCAACGGCAATCAATAATGTCAGCACGTCACTCAACTCCCTCTACCCATCCCCCTCCCTCTTTCGTGCTGATAATAAATACCATAAAATTCAGTTCTCCAACCTTCTTATTCCCGTTGTCATAAATATACATTTCAACCTTGTAACAGTCCGCAATTTTAGCGAAATTCAATGGCTAACTCAACTCAGCTCAAGTCTGATGCTCTGTTGGAGCAGATGAAACAGCATCTGACCACTGATGCCGGTAAAGAACTCACTAAGAAAATCGGCCTTGTATATCAGATCAATATTGCTCCCAAGGTCAACCATACCTCACTGTTTCTCTTATTTATTGTTTTATTTATTTATTTATTTATTTTTAATTTCTGATCCCAATCAAATAGTTAGTTATTTTTCCCCATGTTTTTGAATTGCAGAAAATTGGGTTTAACGAGGTTACTTATATTGTTGATCTTAAAAAAGGAGAGGTCACTAAAGGTTAGAGATTTTGATTTTTGATCTGATTTTTGTTTTGCAATGGTATTGACCACTCCTGATCCAATTTTTCGTGAGTATAACATTAGGATCACTTAATTGTATTATGCCCTTTTATATGTTATGCATAAAGAATTCAGAATCCTTTTGGTTTACAGAAATTCTTACAAAATAGAGGTGGAAAGAAGTACAGAAATTGTGAACTTATTTGTCATTGTATAAACGGTTATAATGAATAATTCATTTTATCGTATAGTTGACTGCTGAACTATTTGATCGTTTTATAAATACATTAGTGAATTTTCGAAAATTTAAGGGACATATGAAGGAGGGAAGCCCGATGCTACATTTTCTTTTAAGGATGAAGATTTTCTCAAGGTTGCCACTGGAAAGATGAATCCCCAGATTGCTTTCATGAGGTGCTGACTTGCGAGCTTTCTAATGTTAGTTTTTGGTCATATGTGTTCGTTGATTGTAATTGTTTTTTGATATCTGATATATGCAGGGGTGCAATGAAAATTAAGGGAAGCCTTAGTGCCGCACAGAAATTCACTCCAGAAATTTTCCCAAAGCCTTCAAAGATGTGAGCAGATACCTTAAGAGGGGTATTTGCATTACTGTTCTTTCAAATGGGTCAAATGTTAAATCTAGGTATAGACATGGTACAACGATAGCAAGTACCATTGCAAGTGTCCACCAATATCTGTAGTTGACAAACATATTATCAGTGCTTAGTAATATGCTACTAGTTTGGAGACATTTATTATTTCACATTGCTCTTTGTTTATCATTGATATGCTTTTTTCATGGATTAAAATCTTGTGCTCGGTTGGATTCGAGATATCGTTTATTTATAATCTTTCAATAAAGTTATACTAATTTGCTTGATTTGCGTTCCTCAATTAACTGAGTTGTTATCCTTGTTTTGCCAAGTTCCCATATGATGAGAAACCCTCAAACTTTATCCTTGCATTATACATTTTTTACCTATATTTATCACATTTTTATTGCATGTCATTCTTGCAACCTCACTGTCAACCTCTTTATCCAGTGTGGAATCCAGAAGGCATGTGATATTAGCCCAGATCCTACTTCCTGAACATGTCATTCAGGTCACATCTACTGTGAGTCTGTAACTGTGGAGCCTTACCGTGCTAATGAACTCCAATAACTTCCTTCTGTAGAAATATTTGGCTTATATTTGTTCTGCAATTTTCACTTCAATGTACTATAGTTGATGTTTTACTATTTGATCTTTCATGAACACATACTACAACCTTGTTGGGAATCTCATTGTTTGGCCGAAATTATGAAATACTGATGGTAGGACTAGGACTGCTAGTTGATATGCAATCACTTATGCTACTTTGATTTTGTTTTTGTTTTATATTTTCTATTCAGGTGTTCTAACGGACTGTGATCAACTCTTTTTCGGTTGGAAATTATAAATTGATGCATTGCAAAAAATTGAGTTAAATAGCCACCTATCAAACTCTAGTAATATATTTTGGAAGTACCATAAGTTAATGCACGAATGTAAAAATAATCGTATTTAGTAACTATTAATCACAATTAATTTAAAGATAGATGAAAGAGAAAAAAATTTAAATGTGACATAAATTCACATGATGGTGGCATGGATGAAGTACCGTCGAGATGTTTTAGATTTTTTTCTATGTTTTGATTGCATTAACGGTAGGCATGGCAATGTTCTTCGAAATTCCGAGGACCTGTTCTGTCCCGCCCCATATGGGATGGGGAAGCCTCGGTTTTTTTGAGGATAGGGGCGGGGGTGGGGGCGTTTTAATCCCCGTTCTCGAGGATGGGGCGTTTTAATCCCTGTCCTCGGGGATGGGGCGGGAGTGGGTGATGGCTTTGCTTTGCCTCGTCTCGTCCCGCCTCGTATATAATATATAAAATTAAAAATTATATATATATACTTTTCACTAATTTTCATATATTTCACTTAATTACACAATTATCTATTTTGTTTGGTAATGTTCAAATTAATTTATATTTATGTAAAATTAAAGAGGTAAGGACAGGCCTCCAATATTCTCCTTTGGGGCGAGGATGAAGAATTTCTGTCATCCCTGTAATTAGGATGGGACAAGGATGAGAAGTGATTTTGAGAACAGGAATAGGTACCGTGAATGAGGTTCCCGCTCCACTCCATTGCCATGCCTAATTAAAGGGTGATAGTCAAATATTGATTGCATTTTATATTAATTGGACTAGCTGCCTAGTTATGATATGTCTTTAGTGACCCGTCACTTGTTAAATCGTTAGTGCGTGAATCAAATATAAGCTTCGTGTCCGGCCCGCCGTGTTTCTTGAGGTCTATTCTGTTCTACACACTAACGACTTAGAAAACATTGAACCCCGTAAAAGACGAGCAACAATGTTATTTATAATCTACCATATTCCATCTCAATTCATATATGCATTGATACGACACAATAACTTCTGGTGTACCATAATGAGTTTGACTACTTGGATGATAAAATATCAATTTAACTTTGTCAGTCACAAGCTATTATCTGTCTCTGATCAATTGAAACGGTAGGGAGGGGTCTGTCAATAGAAGTCAGCAAGCTCAGATTAACTTTAGAACGAATATGAATGAAGCCTCTGGGCAATAACGTCTGTTAGTGTGAAAGATTGATCAAGATTTCTTAGTGACTTGAGGGAAAGTCAAATATGGTGGCTACTTGTTAAGAAATTTCCAAAAGATAATGGGGCAACTAGATTAACCCATAGAATGGGGCATCAACCGTTTGTTGCTATAAAAGACGAGAATAGCGCATCCAATCTCCAAAGACAAGCAAAGATTATGAGTTTTCTCACCCCACTTTGCTTCCTCTCTCTGTTTCTATCTATCTTCCCGTCCTTGACGTCTTCTACCTTATTATTTCAGGTAACGGATCCACACTTAAATCACTTTTTACATCTCTTCTTTCCCCACATGCAAGCACGTATTACGTATCTAAATCTTACATGGTGAACTTTAATTCATTTGTTTAATAATTTGATGATATGATAGGGGTTCAACTGGGAATCATGTAATAAGGCTGGTGGTTGGTACAATTCCTTGAAGAGTTCCCTTCCTGATCTTGCTAATGCTGGAATTACTCATGTCTGGCTTCCTCCACCATCTCAGTCTGTTGCACCCCAAGGTTTTTCCAAAATATTGTTTTGCTTATTCATTTCTTACTGATCATGCCTGCTTGGTTTCCTGAAAATGTAATACTCAGCACGATGATTATTATAAGATCAACTACATCTAGGCATATTGTATTACTCTTTTTAACTTTAGTTGTTCATTTTGGATTCTTTGACCCATGTCAATGCTTTTCTCTTGTAGTCACCTTTAAATTAGTTTATGCCAGTCATGGTTCAATTAACGTTTTCTCTTGATTGCTCGCTGGGAGACTGCTTCAAGGCCAAATTGAAGGAATTGATTTTTGTTGTAAATTAAGAGTAAAGACCCAGTTGGTGCCCGTGACCTGTCTCATTTTTGGTTATAGGGAAGCATATACTTTTAGCAATAAGGTGGGCTAGTTAGGCTAAAATCATGGGGAAAAAACGATGAGACAGAAAGGATCAATTTTTGTGTTTATTGCATCTCTTTGTTTTTTAAGAAAAACCCACCAACACTTTTATTCGATCTAAATGTGCCTTGTCCTTGTTTTTTCTAGGGTATATGCCAGGAAAGTTGTATGACCTTAACGCCTCAAAATATGGATCTCAGGAAGAATTAAAATCATTAATTGACGCTTTTCATCAGAAGGGCATTAAATGCCTAGCAGACATAGTAATAAATCACAGAACTGCAGCGAAGCAAGACGAGAGGGGAATATGGTGCATTTTTGAAGGTGGAACTTCAGACGACCGTCTGGACTGGGGGCCATCCTTCATTTGCCGTGATGACACTGCATATTCCAATGGCCAAGGGAATCTTGATAGTGGAGAGGACTTTAATGGTGCTCCTGATATTGATCATCTTAATCAAAGGGTACAAAAAGAGTTATCTGATTGGATGAACTGGTTAAAGACTGAAATTGGATTTGATGGATGGCGTTTTGATTTCGTAAAAGGTTATGCCCCAAATATTACCAAAGTTTATATGGAACAAACCAAGCCAGATTTTGCTGTCGGTGAGAAATGGGATTCTCTTTCGTATGGACAGGATGGAAAACCTGATGCTAACCAGGACGCACACCGTGGTGCATTAAAAGATTGGATTCAAGCTGCTGGTGGGGTTGTCACTGCTTTTGACTTCACAACCAAGGGTATTCTTCAAGCTGCCGTGCAAGGGGAGTTGTGGAGGTTGAAGGATTCAAACGGCAAATCGCCAGGATTGATTGGAATTTTGCCAAAAAATGCGGTGACTTTTATTGACAATCATGACACCGGGTCAACTCAAAAACTTTGGCCATTTCCATCCGATAAAGTCATGCTTGGATATGCTTACATTCTCACACATCCTGGCATCCCATCAATAGTACTTTCTTTCACTTTTTCTCTGTTCCATAAGTTCTGGGATAGTTCGATTTGATAACATGTCTATCTTCTGTATCTACTTAATAGGATTATGCTACAATTTTAACTCTTATTTTTTTTTTTTTATTTTTTTTTTTTGCAGTTTTATGACCACTTCTTTGACTGGGGTCTAAAGGAGGGTATTAGCAAATTGGCTGCAATCAGAACCAATAATGGAATCAATACAGCAAGCACAGTTAATATTTTAGCCTCTGATTCTGATCTCTACGTGGCTGCAATTGATGACAAAATCATTGTGAAAATTGGACCAAAGATGGATCTTGGAAATCTTATTCCTTCCAACTTCCAAGTCTCTACCTCCGGTACAGACTACGCTGTCTGGGAGAAAAAATGAAAAAAAGAAAAAGGAAAAGCATTCTGTTAGTTAATACAATAATAATGTTGTCAAGTTTATTATTGAATTTGTAAAAGATTCATGCCATGCAGTATTATTGAAATACTATGTTAAAACAATGAATTTATAAAATACTATGTTAAAAGTTTTCTCACTCAAACATTATGCTATCTAATTTAAAGGAGAATTGTCGAAATTAAGGAGTAGAAAGAAATACGCAAAGATGTAATTATTGGAAGTGTGAAAAAGCTATCAAATTTTAAACAAATTGCAAGATCTTCGGACAAAAACATTAAGCCCATGTCTAAAGAGCCGTTTCTCGCATTCTGACCATTTGATTTGACAGAAACCGAGTAATATATAAAGTGTACACACTAAACTAGTGGCATCGGGCTTCTTATAATAAAAGCGGATTGTTCCGACGGTCATATCTGGCGCTGAAGTCCAGAGTATGAAATTGGCTTGGTCGAGCCAAAATCTATCTTTCTTCCACTCTGGAATCAAATCTTGCATTGAAACCAAAAACTCAAGATCTGCATTTGCTTATTTTCGCCAATTGTTGCAATTCAGTGTAAAGCCCACTGACCTCACTTTTTCTTTATTGCTTAAATTCTCTGCATCATCATCGCTCTGTCTTAAACTAGAAGCCTATCAAATCCACACCCATCTAGTAAAATTGGCTTTTGATAAGTTTGTCTATGTAAGTACATCCCTTCTTGATGTTTATATGAAGCTAGGATGCAATTTCTGTGCCCAAAGACTGTTCGATCATATGCCTAATAGAGACATTGTCACCTGGAATGCGTTAATATGTGGCTATTCGAAAAACGGGTATGATTTTGATGCCTTGCAGCTATTTGTTCAAATGTTTCGAGAGGGCTTTATTCCGGATGAGACAACGTTAGTTAGTGTGGTTCCGTCTTGTGGGCCACGAGAGCTAGTGTTTCAAGGGAAATCTATCCATGGGTATGGGATTAAAACTGGCCTTGATTTGGATGTTAAAGTTAAGAATGTGCTTGCTTCAATGTACGCTAAATGTTCAGATTTGGAAGCGGCAGAACTTCTATTCCAAAACATGGTTGAGGATTGTGTAGTTTCGTGGAATACCATAATTGGTGCTTATGGCCAAAATGGTTTTTTTGATCAGGCAATGCTTGCCCTAACGAAAATGCGAGAGAAAAATGTGAAAGTAAATTCAGTTACAGTTCTGAGCATTCTCTCTGCCAATGCCGACCCAGAATCTACCCATTGCTATGTAATCAAAACTGGGATTATCAATGATGCATCTGTGACTACTTCACTGGTTTGTGTATATGCCAAAAATAGGGACACTGAATCAGCAGAGCTCCTTTACAAGTCATTGCCTGAGGAGAATTTGGTTTCCTTAACCGCAATTATTTCAAGCTATGCTGAGAAAGGAAGTATGAGTTTGGCTGTTGAACGTTTTACTCAAATGCAACAGTTAGATATGAAAGTGGATGCAGTAGCTATGGTTAGCATCCTTCATGCGATAACAAACCGACATCATATTGACATTGGGCTTTGTTTCCATGCTTATGGATTAAAGAGTGGGTTGTGTAATGATTGTTTGGTAGCCAATGGGCTAATTAGCATGTATTCCAAGTTCATTGACACTGATGCTATATTCTATTTGTTTTCAGAGATGAATAAGAAACCACTAATCAGTTGGAATTCAGTCATATCTGGATGTGTACAAGCAGGAAGAGCAAGTGATGCCATGGAGTTTTACTGTCAAATGCAGATGTCTGGACTTAGACCAGACACTATCACTGTTGCTAGTTTACTGTCTGGGTGCTCTCAACTTGGATACATGCAATTTGGGAGGAGACTTCATTGCTATGTCCTTAGAAACAATCTAGAAATAGAAGATTATGTTGTTACTGCCCTAATAGACATGTACACTAAGTGTGGAAGCATAAAGCACGCGGAAATGGTGTTCAAAAGCATCCAAAACCCGTGTGTAGCAACATGGAATTCAATGATCTCAGGCTATAGTTTATATGGGTTTGAACAGGAAGCTCTTAATTCTTACTCTGCAATGCGGAAACAAGGACTTAAACCTGATAAAATCACTTTCTTGGGAGTTTTAGCTGCTTGTATCCACGGGGGTCTTGTTGATGAAGGGAGAAAGTACTTCAAAATCATGAAAGAAGAATTTGGCATAGCGCCAACATTGCAACACTCTGCATACATGGTTGGTCTCCTTGGTCGAGCAGGCTTCTTTGAAGAAGCAATATCATTTATAAAGACAATGGAGATTGAGCCTGATTCGGCGGTGTGGGGAAGCTTACTCAGTGCTTGTTGCATGCACCAAGAGGTAAAGCTCGGGGAATGTTTGGCCAGGAAGTTATATTTCTTGGATTATGGAAACGGTGGAGTATATGTATTGATGTCAAATCTATATGCGGCTAGAGGGATGTGGGATGATGTAGTAAGGGTGAGGAAGATGATGAAAGACATTGGAGGTGATGGCTGTTCGGGAGTTAGCCTAATTGAGGTGACCTCCATGCCAAAATATGGACATTAACTTTAATTAATTCCTCTGTTTAATTAACAAACAAACTAATGACGTATAAAAAAGTCGAATTAATTTTTCTTGATTCGACTTTGACCATTGTAGTCCATTGCACTGGATCCAAACGTGTTTTACGTAAATACAATACAGACATGCCAATAGGGGTGTAAATTAACCCAGTTAATTCTATTAGTTAAACTCTTAACCGGTAATAGCCGGTATCCAGCAAGGCTCCACTCCATTTTCAAACCCTAAAAGGAAGAAACGAAGCCAACAAGCGCAACGATCCAAATTCAAATTTCGAACTTGGCGCCCTTGACATACCCAGATCTTCTCTCATTTTCAAAGCTTTTCTTCAAAAGCAAACGCAAAATCAGCCAGGAAGTCACGAATGGGTGGGTCTCACAGTCGCGAAGATCTCGAACTCTCAGACTCAGATGAATATGAAAGCGAACAAGAACAAGAAGAAGAAGAAAAGTATGCGGACTGCAAAGAAGAAACCCCGGATAGGTCATCATCTTCTTCAAAACGCAGACCCAAAACGCCCTCATCAATCGATGAAGTGGAAGCCAAGCTTAAAGCCTTGAAACTTAAGTACCCATCAGCTGCTCAAAACCCTAATGCTGTTAAGCTTTACCTTCACGTTGGTGGCAACACGCCAAAAGCCAAATGGGTCACCTCCGAGAAACTCACTTACTATGTTTTCATCAAAACTTCAAGAATCAACAGCCACGATGAAGAGGAAGATGATGATGAAAGTGAAAACGAAAATGGAGAATCATGGTGGGCTTTGAAAGTGGGCTCCAAGATTCGAGTTAAAGTGTCCCTGGAAATGCAATTAAAGACATTTAAAGATCAACGTCGTGTTGATTTTGTGGCACAAGGTGTGCGGGCTATGAAGTTTTTTAGCGATGAGGATTACAAGGTTTTTGTTGCTAAGTTTCAAGATTGTTTGTTTGAGAACACATATGGGTTTGAATCAAATGAAGCAAACAAGATGAAGGTTTATGGGAAGGATTTTATTGGGTGGGCTAAGCCTGAAGCGGCCGATGATTCAATGTGGGAAGATGCAGATGATAGTTTCTTAAAAAGCCCTCGGTCAGCAACTCCAATCAGGGCTAATCAAGATTTGACAGAGGAGTTTGAGGAGGCAGCAAATGGAGGGATACAGAGTTTGGCGTTGGGTGCACTGGATAATAGTTTCTTGGTGGGTGATTCTGGTATCCAGGTTGTTAAGAATTTTAGTGACGGAATTCATGGGAAAGGTGTCTTTGTGAATTTCAATGGTGGGAATTACAGGAGTGGTTCTAATTTGGTGCATTCCACGCCGAAAAAGGCGCTTCTTATGAAGGCCGAGACTAATATGTTACTCATGAGTCCAATGAGTGAGGCAAAGCCTCATCATATGACTGGGTTACATCAGCTTGATATTGAAACTGGAAAGATAGTTACGCAATGGAAGTTTGAGAAGGATGGTACGGATATTACAATGAGAGATATTGCTAACGATAGTAAAGGAGCACAATTGGATCCTTCTGGTTCTACCTTTTTGGGATTGGATGATAACAGGCTTTGTAGGTGGGATATGCGCGATAGAAATGGGATTGTTCAGGATCTTGTGAATTCTAGTGCCCCTGTGTTGAATTGGACTCAGGGGCATCAATTCTCCAGAGGAACTAACTTTCAGTGTTTCGCAAGTACCGGTGATGGCTCAATTGTTGTTGGCTCTCTTGATGGAAAGATTCGGTTATACTCGAGCAGTTCAATGAGACAGGCAAAAACAGCCTTCCCTGGCCTTGGGTCACCCATTACACACGTGGATGTTACCTTTGATGGGAAGTGGATACTGGGGACTACTGATACCTATTTGGTCCTTATCTGCACTCTTTTTACTGATAAGAATGGTATGACCAAGACTGGTTTTAGTGGTCGTATGGGAAACAGGATTGCAGCTCCCAGATTGCTGAAGCTTACTCCTCTGGATTCACATTTGGCTGGAGTTAATAACAAGTTTCGTAATGCTCAGTTTTCATGGGTAAGCATACTTATTTTCTTCCTTATACGGAGCCTGTTTACTTGTGGTTTCCACAGCTATTAACTGCTGATAAAATTCTGTATTGTCTATATTTCCTATAATTGCAATTGGTTAGTGGATTTGGAATGAAGAGCTTAGTTGGTAGTTTTTTTAAATTGGTAATTGGTGGATCTTGGCATCGGAGTGATTTATATTTGCATGTTTTACTTTCAGTGCCAAGGAACTTTATGCATTTCTTCTGTTTCAAGTTGCATAATTTAGTGGTCTTTCTAGACTTTATCAGTTTTCTATTTATATCTTAGTAGTGGTGAAGTCCTGACAGGGTTTTGAGAACGATCAGATCTGTTTACAGCAAATTTTACTAGTAATGTTACAGAAATGTATATGTTAAATCTGAAATCTACCGTTGTTGCATCTTTCTTTATTTGAAAGTTGGTTTGTAAAATTTTTGTATTCAAGCGGAGAGATTATTGATTGCTCAACATCCAAGTTATTTAAATTTTTGCAAATCTGATATTTGTTCGCCTACTTTTGTGCATTCAAGTGGTGGGAAGGTCCTGCCATCACCTGATGATAGACTTGGATGTTTGTCCGCTGCTATCCACACTGCATATTCTTTTGTTAAGCTTTTGTAATCAGCATGGCTTGGTGTTCTTTAACACTCCTTGATGACATTGTTATTTTGTGTTTTAAAATTACATAGGTCACCGAGGATGGCAAACAGGAGCGTCATTTGGTTGCAACTGTAGGCAAGTTTAGTGTGATATGGAACTTTCAACAGGTGAAGAATGGCTCTCATGAGTGCTACCGAAATCAGGAGGGCCTAAAGAGCTGCTACTGCTATAAGATAGTTCTCAAGGATGATTCCATTGTTGATAGTCGTTTCATGCATGACAAATTTGCAGCCAGTGATTTGCCCGAGGCTCCTCTGGTCATTGCCACGCCCATGAAAGTCAGCTCCTTCAGCATATCTAGCAGGCAGTGATATTTGTTACCTTGTCCTCTGTTCTCTAATCTACTTTATTAGCTTTCTCTTCTTAGCTTTGTTAATGAAGTTTGCACTAGTTGATGTAAAACTTCTTAGTTAAATATTTTACATTGTTTAATTAGGTCATCTTTGCAAGTGATTTCAGAGACCAATGAATTCTAATTGTACTATTTTTACGCAGTTTTCTAGATCATGTTGCATCTTGCAAGTGATGAGACTCGGGAGATATTATTGTTGTATAATTTGTCAAAAAACCATAAATTTCTTCCTTTACGAAGGAAATGGGATTCTGGCAGGAGGGTTTTTTGTTGACTGCAGCTGTGGGTAGCTGTTACTTTTGTTATTCCTTCACATCTTTCTCCTCTGATTGGATAAATTTTTAATACTTACACTTGATGATACATGAAAATTTTAAAAATAAACTTATTTCATTTGTATCGAATTTCTTGCAAGATCGATTCAGATCGGCCCTGTTTCAGTTAAAAAACGTGGTTAGAGGAACTAAAGGCCAAGCAATTAGGCATAAACTGACCTCAAAATCTGGTTTTAATGGGACGTGCAAGATTAAGCTAAAATGATTTAGGAAAGACTTATGTGTTTACTTATACAAGACCGGTATCAATGTAAAGCAAACTTGAAGAGCCGGCGTTGCAGGAATGCTGTAATTAAAAGCAAATCTATGATATGTGCTTATAAATGCAATGGCTTCTGGGTCTTGGGATAAGAGGACCCACACTATCTTGTTTTTTCAGTGTTGTATTTGCAAAAAGGTAGTTACATACGTGGATGTTATATGTGCCTCCAAATAAAAATAGTTGATAGGGAGAGAAATAAAAATGGCGGTTGCGGTTGGAAGAGGTTTCCTTGTTCGGCCTTGCTCTTCATCATCCTTTCTTCGTAACGATTTACCTAAATCTTCTCTAGGTATCACAACGACATTTTCTCCTTCTAAGCCGGCAACCAGTCGACGTTATTCACTAACTGTGGTTCGAGCACAGCAGCGACCTACATGGCTCCCTGGGCTTGACCCTCCTTCTTATCTCGATGGAACGTGAGCCTTTCTGTATTCTTGTACATATTGAACTTCATCAGTTTCACTGTAATTTTATTGAATTTGAATTGTGTTTGGGTTATTGAAGATTGCCTGGAGATTTTGGATTTGACCCACTTGGGCTCGGAGAGGATCCAGAGAGCTTGAAATGGTACGTCCAGGCAGAGTTGGTGCATGCTCGTTTTGCTATGGCCGGGGTCGCTGGAATTCTTTTTACAGATGTGAGTGAAGCCAAACACTCTTCTTGGCCAAATAAAGTTTTATTTAGGAATTTTTTTCTTCTCTTATCTTTGCTGGGTTGCGCAACTTAAGTACGAACCTGCGCAAGATAGGGAGCCAACTCATTTAAAACATAAAGAAAGAAAATTAGCTTGAGAGTTTAACTGTATTTTCATTGCATTTTTGGTAATCACAGTGTTTTTGCAGTTACTCCGCGTAACAGGTATCAGAAACTTACCGGTTTGGTATGAGGCAGGTGCAGTAAAATTCGAGTTTGCCAGCACAAGAACTTTGTTCATCGTTCAACTACTCTTGATGGGGTATAATATTTATCAGTGTTTGACAGTCAAGGAAATGTTAATAAAGGAAAATAGACTTGTATATACGAAATATGTTCCATCTTTAGCATCATTTCAATTTTAAACATGACTTCCCAAATTGAAGTTTGTATTTTTGGTTTTCACATTAGTTTCGCTGAAACCAAAAGATACATGGATTTCATTAGTCCTGGATCTCAAGCCAAGGAGGGATCCTTCTTTGGATTGGAAGCTTCCCTAGAAGGTCTAGAACCTGGGTAATTTTCTCTCGACTCAGGAAAAGATACTGTCAATTGCATTTTAACTAAACCTGGAAAATTATGTGTACTTGATTGATGAATTGAGTTTTGAGTTTAACGTTTTTTGTCCTGTGATAAGCAGTTACCCAGGAGGTCCTTTGCTTAACCCGCTTGGCCTGGCTAAAGATATAAAAAATGCTCATGAATGGAAGCTTAAAGAGATTAAGAATGGTTTGCTTCTTAGTTTTTTGTGATTCCTTTCTGAATGGTTATTTCATTCATAGGTTTTTGATATTAATCTCATTGGCAGGACGGCTTGCAATGGTAGCGATGCTGGGCATCTTTGTGCAAGCTTCAGTGACTCATGTAGGACCAATTGATAACCTCGTAGAGCACCTCTCAAATCCATGGCACAAAACTATTATCCAGACACTTGCTAATTCTGGTTCCTGATGTTACTTGAAGGTTTTGTCTTACAACTCTATGTCTTTATGGTGAATTGTAAATTAAATTGGATTTTAATTTGATGCAAATGATGATTCGTGGTTGACAAGCTGCTGTACCTGGTAACAAAACTCCACGCATATTCTGTCATAATGATGATGCTTCAGAGAATCGGTTTCCATAAATCATTACTTGTATCACGTTGTTAACTGATTAGGCATTTAGAATATCCTGTAAACTAATATAATTAAAAACTGATAAAAACTGTTGATGACAGTGATGTTTTACTGAAAACATGAAGATAGGGTCTGCAGGTTTTTGGAGCCAAATTTGAAGTGTGCTTAGAATTTTGAATTGTAATGTGATGTTTTAGGCGTATACAGCCGGCTTTATGGTTTGGTTTAAGTGTAATTTACTTGTATTGGGTAATTGTGTATGGTTAAGTTTGAAATTGCCTAAAAATATCTTGCTTAGAGTGGTTGTAACAGTGACTTTTTGGCTTTTAAATTGGCTGCTTGATATAATACAATTGAAGCTTTTGAACACAATTTGCAATAACCTTCTCTGAACTCTCTCTTTCCTTAGTATTCTCCAATTAAAAAACCATCATTTGGTATTAGAGCTACTGTGATTCTCAAGGCCAAAAACACAACACCATAACTCACCACAACTCCATTAAAAGTCTTCTTCATGGCAACAAACCCAACTCCTCTTTCTCCACCCATCTTCAATGGTGAACAATTTCATGTTTGGGCTATCAAAATGAAGACTTATTTGAGAGGCCATGGTTTGTGGCAATATGTGGAGGAAGAGAGACAAGTCCCTCAGCTTGGAGCAAACCCAACACTGAATCAGATAAGGATTCATGAAGAAGAGTTAGCAAAGGCTCTAAGAGCACTGTCTTGCATCCATTCAACAGTAATCGACCAAGTTTTCTCTGGGATTATGGCATGTGATACTCCTAAAGAAGCTTGGGATAAGCTCAATGAGGAGTTTGGGGGATGTAGTCAAACAAAAAACATGTAGGTCTTAAACCTAAGAAGAGAGTTTGAAATGCTCAAAATGCAAGAAACTGAAAATGTCAAGGAGTATGTGGATAGACTAATGAATGTGGTGAATAAGATTAAGCTACTTAGTGAGGAGTTGACTGATAAGAGAATTATGGAGAAGGTTTTAGTTAGCCTGCTCGAGAGATTTGAGGCAAAGATCTCTTCACTTGAAGACTCCAAAGGCTTGTCCCAGATCAGCTTAGCAGAACTTGTGCATTCTCTTCAAGCATAAGAGCAGAGGAGGTTGCTGAGGCAGAAAGACTCAAGTGAATGAGCCATGATAACAAGCCAAAAAGGAAGAGTTTTCCAAGGAGGAAACAAAAGGTATACTGGAGAGAAAAAGGGAAAGGAGAAGACCAACAACCAAGGAGGGAAACATGCCGGAATGAGAACCTTCCTTCCATGCCCACATTGCAAGAAGAAAAATCACTCCGAAAATAGGTGTTGGTTTAGGCATGGCATACAATGCAGGTCTTGCAAACAATTAGGGTACGTTGAGAGAGTATGTAAGAACAAGGGGAACCAGTAGGACCAGCAAGCACAAGAAGTGGAAAATTCACAGCATACTCAAGAAACAGAGCAGCTTTTTGTAGCTTTTGGTTGCATGGTTGCTAGAAGCCCTGATGTGTGGTTGATTGACAATGGCTACACCATCCATATGACTCTAAACCTTGGTCATTTTGTGAACGTGGATCAAAGTTATCAATCCAAAGTGAAGATAGAGAATGGTGAGCTGTTGGAGGTCAAAGGCAAGGGAGAAGTCGCTGTCCAAACCAAGTCAGGTACCAAATTCATATATGATGTTTTATTTGTTACTGAAATTAGTCAAAGCATACTTAGTGTAGGATAAATGCTTGAGAGGAATTACTCTCTGCATTTTAAAAACTCAGCATGTGTCATTATAGAATGTGATGGGAGTGAGTTAATAAGAGTTAGGATGCAAGGAAAAAGCTTTCTGGTAGAGTGGGGAAAGGCTGTTTTTCAAAACCATTCAGCTAACATAGATGATTCAGAGTTGTGGCATAGGAGGTTTGGACACTTTCACTACCATGCTCTTAAGGAACTTAGACTTAAGAACCTTGTCCAAGACATCCCCGAAATAAACCAAGGAGAAGGTCCGTGTAATACCTGTCAAATTGGGAAGTTAAGTAGGCTTCCATTTCCAGCAAACAAAGCATGGAGAGCAAGTGAGAAGCTGCAGCTTGTACACACTAATGTGTGTGGTCCAATGTAGCATGCTTCCTTGAATGGGAGCAGATACTTCATCCTCTTTATAGACGATTTTTCCAGGATGACTTAGGTGTATTTCTTGAACCAAAAGAGTGAGGTTGCTGCTGTGTTCAAGAGGTTTAAGTTGCTGGTTGAAAATCAATCAGGTTTGACACTAAAATCAGTAAGGAGTGATAATGGAATTGAGTATACTTCAAATGAGTTTGAAGAGGTTTGTAGGGGAGCTTGAATAAAACATCAATTCAATAGTCCATACACTCCACAACAAAATGAAGTTAGTGAGAGAAAAAACAAGACAGTGATGGAGATGACTAGGTGTATGATGGCTGAGAAAAATCTACCCAAAACTTTTTCGGCTGAGGCTGTCAATACTGGAATATATCTCCTAAATAGACTTCCAACCAAGGCACTTAAGGACAAGACATTGTATGAGGCCTGGTGGTGTCAAGCCGAAAGTTGATCACTTAAGAGTGCTTGGAAGTGTATGCTATATCTATGTACCAGCCAACAAAAAGAGCAAGTTAGATGAGAAGGCTGAAGTGGGCATCTTGATTGGGTACATTAGTCAATCAAAGGCTTATAGGATTTATAATCCAACAAGTAAGAAGATTGTGGTTAGGCGAGAAGTTAAAGTGGATGAGCATGCTGTTTGGAATTGGGAAAGCAACCAAGTTGAAGTCAAGTCAAGTCTCCAGCAAGATAAAAGTTTTGGGAACCAGAATGAAGAGTTGAATTAATATGAAATTGATGGAGCTCCAATCAGGGGTACAAGGCCATTATCTGAAATTTATGAGAGGTGCAATGTAATTGAGTTGGAACCAACAAGCAAAAATGAGGCTGTCAAATTCGAAGCTTGGAGAGCTGCAATGAAAGAGGAGTTCTCCTCAATAGAAAGGAATGGAACTTGGGAGCTAGTTGATAGGCCTATAGGCAATAAAGTAATTCAAGTCAAGTGGATTTTTAAGAGAAAATTGAACCCTGATGAGTCAGTAAACAAGTATAAAGCAAGGCTTGTTGTAAAGGGCTTTACACAACAATATGGGGTGGACTTCATGGAGACCCTTGCACCAGTGGTTAGGCATGCTACCATTCGGTTACTCCTTGCAATTGCAACTCAATTTAAGTGGAAAATCTTCCAACTTGATGTGAAGTCTGCATTCCTCAATGGATGGCTTGATGAGGAAATCTACATTGAGCAATTGGAGGGGTATGAAGTCAAGGGAAAGGAGGAGAAGGTTTATCTGCTCAAGAAGGCCTTGTATGGCCTAAAACATGCTCCTAGGGCCTAGTACAACAGAATTGATGAATATTTGGGAAGCCTAGGCTATGGCAGGAGCCCAAATGAGCATACCTTTAATGTAAAACAGCAAGAAGGTGAAATCATGGTGGTGTCACTCTATGTTGATGATTTGTTAGTCACTGGAAGCAATGTTGAACACTTGACAAAATTTAAAGAGGCAATGCAGAAGGAATTCGACATGATTGATTTGGGAGAGATGAGCTACTTCCTTGGCATGGAAATATATCAAGGCTCCAATGGTATTTTTGTGTGTTAAAGGAAGTATGCTAGTGAGGTGCTAAAAAAATTTGGCATGGAAAATTGCAAACCAGTTGACATTCCCTTGGTTCCAAGTCAGAAATTAAGCAAAGAAGATGGCAGTGAATTGGTTGATGAAGTTGTATACCAGAGCTTGATATGATGCTTGCTGTACTTAACAGCAATAAGGCCTGATCTGATGTATTCCACTAGCCTGTTGTCTAGATTCATGAGTAAGCCAAGGGAGGTTTATTACAATACTGCTAAGAGACTGCTAAGGTATGTTAAGGGCACTGCTGAGTTGGGAATATGGTTCAAAAAGGGCTAAAAAATTCAATTTATTCGGTTATTTAGATAGTGATTGGGCTGGCTCAGTTGATGGATGAGGAGCACTTCAATGTATGTTTTCTTTGTGAATTATGGTGCTTTTAGCTAGCTTTTCAAGAAGCAAGAGTCAGTTGCCCAATCTACTGCTAAAGCAGAGTATATCTCTACAGCTGTTGCTGTGAACCACGCTATCTGGTTAAGGAAAATTCTTGATGATGTGAAGCTGAGCAAAGCAGTCCTACCGTTATCCTTTGTGATAATCAATCAGTTGTGGCCATGGCTAAGAATCCTATCTTACATGGTTGCACAAAACACATCAGGATTAAATTTCATGCTCTAAGGGAGGTTGAACAAATTGGAGAAATCAGTTTAGTCCACTACAGAGGAGAGGACCAGGTTGCTGAAATCATGACTAAGGCTCTAAGCAAGTCCAAATTTGAAGAACTCAGGCTGAAGATTGGTGTTTCCAACTAAACATCAAGGAGGAGTGTTGATGGCAGTGATGTTTTACTAAAAACATGAAGATAGTTAGTAAGTTTGCAGGTTTTTGGAGTGTGCTGGGCTAAATTTGAATCCTGGAGCTGTTAGAAATTTGAATTGTAATGTGATGTTTTTAGGTGCATACAGTCGGCTGTTATGGCTTGGTTTAAAGTGTAATGTACTTGTATTAGGTAATTATGTATGGTGAAGTTTGAATTTGTGTAAAAATATCCTGCTAAGAGTGGTTGTAACAGTGACTTTTTGGTTTTTAAATTGGTTGCTTGATGTAATACAATTGAAGCTTTTGAACGCAATTTGCAATAACTTTCTCTCAACTCTCTCTTTCCTTAGTATTCTTCAGTTAAAAAACCATCAAAAACGAAATCCTGCTTGCCGGATTCGAACAGCGACTAGAGTCTGCCGCTCTACCAACTGAGCTAAAGCCGGTAATACTTTCTTGTATCTTTCTACTTTATTCACCAATGAAATGACTAGACAAATTCATAGAACGGGCTTGTTAAAGATCGAACACGTTGGTGATAAATCCTGCCGGCGAAAACTGAAAAATTGGGCCTCCCTAGTTTCCTTCGGTTTCCCAAATATTTAATTGAAACTGAAATGAAGTACAATGTTATTACTAAAGAGTAAGAATAAGTCTATCCTTACAAAGACTTATACAAAAAAGCCTACAAAGTGAAGAAAAAAACAAAGAAAAAACGGAAAAAGAGAAAGAGAGAGAAAGAGAAATCATGAAGATCAAGGGTGGGAGTTGTCTTTGTATGCCTCCTTTGTATTTGTCTTTGTAAGACTAACACTTCTCAAAGAGTAAACTAGCAAAAATCCCAAATTCTTCCATTAAATAAGATAAAACTTTTACAATAGTTGAGGTTCAAACATTACAAACCTATACATCAGAGAACCATGCTACCTTTTTTCCGCCAACTAATTACAAATCACAAAGTTGTTTCCTTCTTCATATCCACCAATGAAACACAATCCTTTCTCTAAGCAAAGGTATAATAATCCAATCAATTTTATCATACACACAAATTACAACAATCCCCAGCATTTACATTCGAGTAAAATATTCTCAAGTATATCTAGTTTACATGGTCATTGTGAAAGAGAGAGAAAAAAAATCCCCAGAAAACAGGAAAAGTCACAACAGAAAATTTTCACATACTGCTCATGAAACATTTGACGCCTTAGATGCATGTGACCTTCTTCTGGCCAAAAACATAAAAAGACGTGGGAACAGTGACCTTTTCTTTTTCTTAGGAATCTTTGTTTCTGGAGATGAATCATTTTCAGTGTTACTTTCATGCGTAAATGAACTTCCATGCACATATGCCTTTGAGTTTGATATATGATTAACAGAAGCATCTGCCATGCGGTCATAGTTCTTTGATTCTTTCCTCCCCTCAAAACTAGGCCTTGGGCTTTTATTGGGGTTTATTCCTTGACCAGATTCAGCGGCTTTTCTTCGTTGCTCATGCTCAGACCTCCACTTTCTCAACTCCTGTTCAATACCCAACTTCCCTTCCTTGGCCTTCTCAGCCTTGTCCATTGCAATTTTCAGAGCTTCTTTTCTTGCAGCCATCTCCTTATTCACTTCTTCCAACTTCTCCAAGCTTTTCAATTCAGACTCTTTTGCTACCTCAATTTGAGAGATGGCAGCTGCCACCCTCATGTTGGCCTGCTCCTCTGCATCATGGGCACACTTGCTGAGCTCATAATACTCCTCTAAAGAAAGTGTAACACCAGTAGTAGGTGACTCCACATCATCGGTGCTCTGAGTTGTTTCACTCTCTTGCAGTGCTTTGACGGCAGCTAAAGCTAATTTTTCTGAAGCCTTGGCAGCCTCTATCTCCTTTTGAGCAGCTAGTAACCTACTCTCCATGGTACTTGCTCCAGCCTTTGCCTGCTCAGCTTCTTCCTTTGCCTTGTGCAGCTCTTCACGAGCCATCTGAGCAAGTGACTTTGCCTGGTCTGCCTCTTGTGCTGCTTTCTGTAGTTGCTTGGGAAGCTCCACCATCTTCTCCCGAACTTCTTTCTCTTTCATCTGAACAAGTGCTATCTCTGACTTGGTCCTGTCCAGCTCAGCTTCCAAAGAAGCAACTGCTACTGATGCCATTCCTTCTCTCTGCCTAATGTTGGCAAGAGCTGATTTTTCTTTTTCAAGCTCTGATTTTAAAGATATGGCTGCCACCTTCAAGCAATTCACGTCGGCAGTGGCTTTCTCAATGTTTAGTTTCACTTCTTCAAGTTCCTTCTTAGCTGATGCAACTGCTGCTTGTATGTCAGTATGAGATTTCCTCACTGGTTCCTCTAATACACCATTTGAATGTTCGTCTTCGTTAGTTTCCTCTTTGAATTTTGATTCCATATAAGCTGCTAGTTCAGCTTTCAAATCAAGTAGCAAGGCTGAAGCAGTGTCTAGTTTCGATTTGAGGTCCTTCGCTGAAAGAATTTGCTGGGTAAGTTTTTGGAGCTCCTCTTCTGCCTGCTTCAATTCCTTCTCCCAAAAGTGAGAATCTTGATCCCTGGCCATTGCTGCTCCTATTCTTTGCTCTTCGGCCTCCAGATGGGCAGCATGTGCAGACTCTAAGGACTCCTTTGCTGCAATCAGCTCAATAGTCAGCTCCTCCATTGTTTTTTCAACTTCCCTGGAAGCAGAAACTGCTGATTCTGCATTCTTTACAGCTATGTCTTTCTCAGACACCAAAGCAGCATAATCCTTGCGCAGTGATTCCAACTCTTCTTTTACAGATTTCAGCTCTGCAACTGCAGCTGTATGCCTGGCTTGAGCAACCTCAAACTGTGCCTTGGCTGCTACACTAGCATCATCAGCAATCCCTTGTTCCATTTCTTCCACCCTGAGTTTGGCTAGCTCAGAGTCTTGTTTTGCTTGCTGCTCTTCAGTTTGTGCCCTCTCCAGATTAAGTTTCAATTCTTCTATTAGTCTCTTCGTGTGGTCAAGCTCTTTCAGTACTTGGCTCTTTTCCTCTTCAGCAGCCTCTGACCTTTTCCTATACTCAGGTATCTCTTCTTGTGCCTTATCCAGTTCCTGCTCTACAAGCTTGCGTCTCTACATAGCCAAAGAAATTCAAGTCAATTTTAGTGGACATACATACCTATCAGTAAAGCACAATGACGAATATATTGCAACTTTCAGAATCAAGCATAGAAGAAATCAGATTAGACTCCTTTAAGCATTCATGCAAAAGACTAAGAAGAAGAAAGCACAAAACACATACCTCTACAGTTTGCATTCTATGGGCTTTCCAATCAACAATTCCTCCAAATTTGGAAACAGCCTCTTTAACAGACTCAAAAGGTGCGGTTGTATCAATAAGACCTCTCTTCATGTCAGCCTGATTAACAAGTGTAGGAGAACTGATACCATATCTAGGAGAATTGACATATTGTTTAGGAGAACTATAAACATGCTTAGGAGAATTCACAAGATGGCTGGGAGCATCCATAACATGTTTAGGAGAATTGACCATAGTTGGGGCTCTCACAGCAATGCTGGCAAGCTTTGCATGGGGTAGATCAAGATTATTGGATGGCTCTACCTGTCGGTCACTTCTAGAATCTAGTACCTGAGGAGAGGAAGAAGAGGGTATATTTCTATCCTCGGTATGATCATGGGAACCACCAACAGAGTGATCATGGGAACCACCAACAGAGCCAGGATCTTGGGATTTGCTTCCATCAGAGTTGTCATGCATGGCTTCAGTTTTTGAATCCTCCATCATTGTATCCCTATACTCTGTCTCCAATTGATTAGCTGAAACTGTTGAAGTTGTGGAATTGCCAGTTGAAAGAAATTGATCTTGTTCCAAAACTGAGTTATCAGCAGCATCATGTACCGGTTCTGATTTGGAATTGGAACTCTCCATATTTGACAACTCAGATGCTTTTCCATTGGTAACTGGAGCTGTTGGAGCTTCAGTGGAAGCATCATTATCAACTATGGGGGATAAAGAAGACTCTGGAGGTGGCATTTGGTCAGCAATTTTACTGTCCTCCATGCCAATAAAGTCTAAAGTAGTACAAGGACGGAACTGAAATCCAAATAATCATGAATCAGATAAATAAAAAAATAAAATTAACTATGACCAGTTAGATGACACAAAAATGTAGCATGAAATCACTGCCCAAATCATGTTAATTCCCCAGAATGCAGCTAACTTGGAAATTTAGGATAAGTTTTTGAATAAAGAAGTAAAACCAATTAGCTAAAGCACTTCAGTGATCAAGTCTATAACTTCCCAATAAGTAATCCACAATTAAACTCCAACTGATATTCTCAACCATCAGAATTGATTGATATATTCATTATTCAATAAAGAAACAATAGATTTTACCTGCACAGGAAACACAAAGGAATTATGATTACAGAAGTACGATGCTTCCACAACGATAGTTCCTCTATGCTCCTTCTAAACTGAATCTCTATGATTACAATATTTAAGCCCTTCCAAATGTGTCATACAAAGCGCTACAAGTAAATTAAAGGGTTTACCAACCATATTAACTAATTACTTAACTGGGAGCTAACTTCCTAAGACCATTATAGGCTTTGAGAATTGAAGCCAAATTTATATACTTTTCGCAAACTGAGATTCATTCTAAAGTTAAACATCATCACAGATTTCCAGATATTAATAAGGTCATCCTACTCTCTCTCCAACAACTCCATTCGTTTAGGCTGCTCCCATATTCTTCTCTATGCATAAACGAAACGACAATAAAGCTAGACTGCGTAAAGATATATATGTATGGAATTATTTTAGCAACTTCAAAAGGAATAAAGAGCAAATATATAATTAACTCAAAATTCATGCATCCTAGCGAAATCCAATCAGTTAACTAAGATTCCACTTCGGAATCAAACTGAGCATAAATTGAAAATAAATCCAGTTATTGATATCCTCACTTATAGCATCAGTCAACGCATAATTCTATCCAACTAGAAGCCAGGAATCAATGAAGAGACGTATTGAAAACTAAGAGTTTATTAAAGCTTTAATCAAGAAGTTAAGCAACGATTACACAAACAAGGTGATTAAGTAACAAACAGGATATGGTATCTCAAAAAAAAAAAAAAAAGGAGGATTAAAGAAAAACTTACCCAGATTATCCAGAAACCACCAGAGATATGAATCAAAGGGAAAAGATGATAATGATATCCAGAAATCCGCACTAACAGAAAAGGTACGAAAAATAAAAAATAGCAAATTCAAAAAAGTGGAGGTGTAAATTTTGATGTTAAAATTAGAATTGAGGAATTAACGGAGAGAAGACTTGGACACGTGCGTGGAGCCAGCCTCTTCTCTTACAGTCACAGACTAGATCTATCTGTACGCTCTCTCTGTCTCTGCCTCAAGATGATATTTTATTTTTTTATAATAAAACAAATTTATAAATAATTGGTGGTTTTCATGAAGAATGATTATTTTTGTAAAGGAATCTGAAAAGAAAATAAGTGTTTTGACCATAATGTCTGTCTGAGACAGGGTGGCTTCGGCTTTGGCAGCTCAGCTAGGCTCCTCTTGGTCTTGGTCCACCATTTTTCATCATCTCGGTTTATTTATTTAATTTTTTTTTCAGAAAAAAGAAATTCATCCACGTCTGAAATTAAATTAACACAACATCATAATGATTATCCTTTATAAAAAGGAAGTATATAATAAATAAAGAATACCAAACCCACCGCCCACCTTACTCTTCTTGTGAAGCGTGGATAAACTTCTCTGTACAAGGACCTTTATACCCTCCAAATCAAGTTCTATCTCCAAGTAAAGTATCATATAATGTGTGGGAAAAGAAAAGGGTAATTTAGTGACAAAAAACGTGTGAAAGCACCTAGAATTACGTTTGGACAGCGCAAGCGATCAGAATCAACATAATGACCAAAATATCCAAAATTGAGAGTACCGTTGGTGAGCGTGGCCAAGTCAGCGCCGATGGATTGAGTAAAATATAAAAGTTAGAGATTTGTGACTTAGGGTTTCGGAGTTGAATAGAAGTGAATCCCAAAGAGAAGCTGTGGAAGCAAGCAGGACAAAGCTGTGTGGGTATTGGGACTTGTGTTTGTGGAGAGCAATCTTGCACATAACTGAAAAACGTGTTATTGACGTGGAACTCCGACTGCTATAAAATACTTCAAACGGCCAGTTATTATAAACCAAATTTTGTTATTGATCATTTCAATAATACTCTTTCTTTTACTTCAATTAAAATTTTAATTTATAAAGCATGTGTTTTGCAAATTTAGTAGTTCAATCTATTAATTAACACATACTATAACTTGCTTAAAGCATGTATGTTGTGCAAGAATGTGCGAATAATTCGGAGTAAGATGTAATGCAGAATAATTTGTGAGATGATGATCAGATGGAAGCAAGCTATGATAAGAATTAAAGCGAGCTATCTAGGAGTTATCTTCCAAACCATGAATGAGTCTTATCTCTTTAAACTTATGTTATCTCTTAAAATATAGAAAAAAGATTATGAAATTGACTCCCTACAATCTCGGCATGATCACAACACCAAAAATCATAAGATTAACTTTTCAAAACGCAAGTCATAATCATGAGAATTACTCTTGTTTGTAATCGTTATCAACTTAACAGTATATAAACCCCTTTAAACTCATTGTAAAAGGGGTTATCGATTTGAGAGAGAGAGGGAGAGAGAGTGCTTATTTTTGTAATCAAATATGTTAATAAGATAACAGTAGATATAAGCTTGAAATTTACCTCGTTGAACCACCTTAAAAGTTATTTTGCATTTAATTTCACTAATTCTATTTTCTACTATTGATTATTCATAACCACGCAGTCATCTTATTCGATTTCGTTAAGGTCAATCGAATATCTCTAGTTATTGAGAATTTTCATAACAACAACGTAAAAATTAAAATCTTCATATGTAATGTAATCAATAATAACAAAATTTTGATAATGAAAATATTTCCTAAATATAAGTAGGCATTATTGTTAATTAACTGTAAAACATGAAACGACTATTTATTTATCTATGGAGAAGGGAATATTACACATATGAATTTAGTGATGGCAATGGGCCGGGCCGGGACCGGGTACCCCTTGGCTCAGGCCCAAGCCCGACCTCATGACACAAGCCCAAGCCTGGCCCGAGCCCGTTACGGGTATGATAGACAAAACCCAAGCCTGGCCCGACGGGTTTTTTATAACCGCAGGCCCGGCCCAAGCCCGCTTTTTTTAATAATGTTTATTTTTAAATATTAATAAATTTCAAATTTTTTTATATTTTTAATTTTAGAAATAGTTTTTAAATATTAATTGAAGCTATTTTCGCAAATAATTTAAGCAATAAGTGAGCAATTAAAACTCCATAAAATTTGATTATACTAATTTTTTAGCTGTGCATAATATGTTACGGTGAAATCCACTTTTATAAGTTGAACAAAATCCATTTAACTCATTTAAAGGCAATTTTAACATGTTAAACCTTCAATATGGGATGAAAATTGAGGTTAGAGTTTGGGAAAAATGGATATATATATGTAGAATAATATTGTGATTAAATATATAGTATAAGGGTAAATTAGTAAAATTAATACTAAAATTTTTGGGGACGGGCCAGGCCGGGCCGAGCCTAAAGATATACCCATGCTCGGCCTGTACCCCAGGTCGGGTCTTAAAATCAAGCCCAAGCCCGCGAACCTTGGATAAAGCCCACCCCTTTCGGGTCAGTCGGGTATCCGAAAATGTCGGGCCCATTGCCATCTCTACATATGATACTGGTGTAATATGCAATTATGAATTCTATGTCGGCCCATCAAGGCCACACCATGATGACGAGCTGAAGCCCAACACTTTAAAGAGAAAATAAAATGGACGTCCTTCCAAATATGATCAATCAAACAAAGACTAATTAAGAAAGCAAATGATAAAGTTTAATTAGAAATTAGAGGTTTCCGTGTGAGTGATTTGTGGTTTTGTTTTTAATATTGATTAGAGTAGCATTAGTTATCAACTGATCTAACCACAACCACTACTCGGAAAATATATTTATTTTTGTTAGGACTAATTAAGCATATATATTCACTTTCACAACTAATGGTAGTTGAATTATTTAACTTTATATTGACTCTACAATTAATCTTTTTTTAATTTAATGTGTTATCGCTTTCTATAGGCCCTAATAATTCCATATAAATACATAAACACAGTGTGTTAGGTGTACCAAAATAAGATTTTTGCTTAAACCAAACTTTGATTTAAGCATTATTCTCTCAATTCTCATCTATTTGTTACACTGCACCAATCATCATTTTTTTTTCTCTTAGATGTTCTGGGATGATAGAGACCGTTAAACAGATTCTATAATTACCTTTTGGAAATCGTTAACAAATTAACCAATCACCTTTATCTGTCACTAATTTTACCTCCTCTTCTAATTATATTTTTTAAGAACCCCAACGGAATTTTGACGTGCCTCTTCTACTATGTCTCTGTCATCCCTCACCTGCAGAATACCTAATCCACAAATATAAAGCAACTGCAATCACATGAATAATTTTATACAGATTAGAGATAGAGGCATATTTATTTATTTTGTTTCTACCTAATACTTAAAAATACTAACCATTAACAATCACTTTGGGGTCATCTATCATATTTGTGGTTTATCTTGAAATATTGAATTTATAAAGTGTTCAATAGACTTCAGAGATTAGTTGAGATGTTTGCAAGTTGAGTCGGACACTCCAATTATAAAAAAAAATAAATACCAACCATTGCTTTGTAACAATCTTAATTTATCACAAATTAAAATTTAATTAGCCTATTTTATTTTTTTAAAATGTCTTGAAAGGCAAATTCAGCAAGCATTGTTTGCGGCATTTGCATCAATACACAAACCCTACAAATTATATTTCCTTGATGAAAAAACACAACTCATTGATTCCTCATGCAAATTCTATTCACACATAAATTACATGGAACGAAAGCATTCCATATATATGGTTATATATTGTTCTACAAATGGAACAAAAATATATAAGAAAGGGAAAAAAAACTCATGGCACATTGGATCTAATCAATCAAATGAGACTGTCTAGGATCTGTAACATTGATACTCCAATGCTTATTTGGTACCCCCGCCTCTCTAGCTTTCTTTCTGTCCCAATCCAGCTCAATCCTCCTTTGCTTCGTTATCCCACAAAACTTCTGCAGCTTCTCATCCATGGCATCGTGCAGTTTCCACCACCTCTCATGTGCCACATCACTAGCATAAACATGTTGATTCTCAATATCCCAATTACAATCATAATCTCTGTAACATAACCAAGGCTTCAAACCTAAATAATGAATCGAATAAAGTTTTGGTGGATCTGCCCCAAACAAATGGTTTTTAACACTAGCCTCCAACGTTGTATTAGCCCAGAAATTCTTTAGAAAGTTCACTCTTCTCGGCAATCGATGCCACCACACGAAAACTTCATTAAGGAAGCCTTGGTCACCGCCATTGTATGAAACAATTTCTTTACGTCGGTTCATTAATATTCGAAATGTGCAATTTGAGGGCTCAATGACCATGATACCCGAATTAAAGATCCATATATCATTACCTGTGGCTGAAAGTTGAGGAAAATGGAAAAGGAGATCCAGGTTACGAAAAACAGTAATATCGGCGTCAATGAATATGATCTTGTCATAGTCTGTGAGTTGCCATAGCCTGAACTTGCTATAATTATACTCATTGTATGTACCCTTTTCAGCCATAGGATTACGAATTCTTTTGATTATTCGAATCTTCCAACCGGCTGCAGCGAGGGCCTCACGTTTGGGGATAGAGATGGACTTATCAATGAGAAGAACAAGGTCCCTTTTGGTGCCCGTTTTCAGGAGACTTTGAGCTAGGGTTATAGCACCACAAACGTATGTTTCCTTGGAATGAAGAACCGTGGCATAGGCTTCACGTTTGACTATCTTTGTGGCACTCTTTATCTTAGAAAGATCGTAGACTTCGTCGTTTCCTGAGATCAATAATATATGTTTTCTCTTTAATTTATTAAATAGTAATAAAATCATGAAGTACTTAATTGATTCATTAATTATGTTTGAGTAACGCTTTAAAAATTATATTATAACTAAACATAAATATCGAAAACTTTAAGAAAAATAGATAAAAATGAGAATTACGATGTTTGACGGGTGTCTATGTTTAAACATTTAATTAAAGCTAGGGAAAAGTAAGACAACTAAAGCCCAACCACTGCATCCTAAACTTTAGTAGCAAGCAAAAGCAGTCATTTTTGACATCCACATCAATTAACCAAAAGTCAAACCAAACCATGAACTAAGACAATTAGGCTATTTGCTTTCTCATACACATGGTAAATTGTTCATTCCTTGTGTTTTCTAACGACCCCAGTGACTGAAAATAAGAAACCAACATCAAATTGTCAACTAGAGTATCCTTGAAATTGTAATCTAGAAGATCGAACCCATTAACAAGCGCCTGTAGCTCAGTGGATAGAGCGTCTGTTTCCTAAGCAGAAAGTCGTAGGTTCGATCCCTACCTGGCGCGTTATGTTTTTGTTTTTCTTTATTTTGACCCTTTCCCTTATTCTCTTTTAACCATTGTTCTTCATTTTTAACCTATTCTCTTGTAACCATTTTTCTTCGTTTTTTTTCCCTTTCCTTTATTCTCTTTTAACCAATTTTCTTCCATTTTAACCTTTCATTTTTCTTTTTAAATTTGACAGTTTTTTAAAGTTTAAACCCTTTTTCTTCTAGTTTTGACCTTTTTCACTTTTAACCCTTTTTCTTCTCATTTGACCTTTTTAACCCTTTTTTTTTCTGGTTCCAGAGTTTCTTTTTTCGCTATTTCTCGTTTTTTTTTTTTTTTTACACTTTTCATTTTTAACCCTTCTTCTTCTTCTAGTTTGACAGTTTATTTATCTATGTAAACCCTTTTTCTGGTTTTGTTTTTGGCTAATATTTTGACAGAATGTATGCCCTTTTTTCGAGTTTTAGACATTTTGGACAGAACATAATACTTATTTCTTCTAGTTTTGGACAGTTAATTACGTTCAGCCATGTAAAAAAAATACATAAAATACTTAAAAAAAGAGTAGAGTTGAAGGCATACCTTGTCCCCACAAAGGCAAAGACAATTTACAAGACCCAACAGGCAATGAAACCTTCTGTTCCAACCTCGCTATCTCAGGCATATAGTACCACCAATCACCTTCCTTTCTTACCAAGTCATCGCATCGAAATAGCTCCAACATTGGCCGGCATTTACTCCAAAACACCACTTTTGTCCTCCAATCCCAATCTCTCTTCCCTTTCTTCACTGCCAAATTCGCCACTATTAGATGAACTTGAAGCCTAAACACCTCTCTCTGCCATCCTTCTTCCGGGAACTTGCATGGCAATTTAGCCACTATTATGTCCATGTTATCATATATTTTGTAATCTGGCATTGGTATCTCAGGACACGTTGGAGTGTCATTCTCTTCCTCCTCATCTATCCATTCAGGAAACAAATCCGGCCATTTGAAATACTTTGATACCCTTTCAAAATCCACTGATATTGTTTCTCCATATATTTTCCATTCACTAATATCATATTCATCCATATTCAACATTCCAATCTTCATTCCTCTCCCTACTTCAATCATGAAATTTGGAACCCCAATCTTTGTCAGATTCCTTTTAGGCTTTGGCTCATTGGCTTGAATATCTTCAAAGATCGCCTCCATCTTCATGCTTTTTTCCACCTACAGAGAATTAAAATTTTAAGCAAATGGGCAATCCCAAAAAAAAAATATATATCATACAATTCTACAATTATAACTAAAAACTTACTAACTTGGGTGGCTCACCTTACCTTGTGATGGCACTCGCGCAATGAGCACCTAACAAGAGATGCAGCATTCTCAAAGTAGACAGTAGAAGATGGCTGGAGAAAAAGACCTACATATATAATCAGAAAGAAAGCAAGGAACAACAGGTTGATTCTGATAACCAAAGCCTTTGAGGCAGTGGCCTTCATCATCTTCTGAAGACCAAGCCCCTCACCCATCTCAACCAAAATCTCCTAACCACCAAAGTAGGCTCTCTCCTACTTTGTGTAGGTTTAAATTTATGGTATTTGACAATTTAAAATGAGAATTGATTACCAATTTTAATGAGGATTTGGATGTAGTAAGTTAGAGATTTCGAGAGCGTAACTACTAGAGATGAAAGACCATTTAAAGATCTCCAACTGTCGCCTCCTCGTTTATATAGAATTTTGATTTCCTTCCTTTAAAGACAAAGAGGTCGCGGCAAATGAAGCTTCACTTCTATCCGAATCCTTGGCTGATACTATTTTTCATATATCCCATTTTACCCCTACCTTTTCAGACACCAAACTTGCATTGTATTGTTATTGGGTCTTCAAAAGGGATTTCCCACAAGCAAAACGTGGAGTTTTTGAACTTCTTAATGTCAATTTTAGTATAAAAAAGAGGTAAATGAAGGAATATAATGGTAAAAGAAAAATAAGAGAAGGATACTTTGGTAATTACGCGCTAGGGCTGTAGAAGTGGGCAGGCCCAGCAACAACCATTCGGTTGCCCTATCAACTTCTGCAATGCAATGAAATATCGCTTTTATTCGTTACAAAATGGGGAGGCTCCACCAATCTTTTTTTTTCTAATAAACCAGTTGTCATTAAATCTCATTGGGAAACATAATTAGGTTTTAAGGTTAGACATCTGCACAACTCAACAATAAATTTGATTTAAGGTCATGTTTTACCTGATTAACCATGGGAAAGGGTATGGTAAACTATCATAATTTCATCTAAATGTCAACTTCTTGATAATTAGACCGACTCCCACTGGGGTCTATATAGTAGGCCAGCTGCCTATTGCCTCATTGTTTTGTAATAGAAAAACTTAAAAACAAAAAGTACTCAAATATCGTTTTATAATAAATTAGAAACACAAATGCCGTGTTGTTTTAACCCATTATCGCCATATTTCTTTCAACATAATCTTGAAATCAGATTAATATGTTAAGAACGTGAACACTGAATAGACTCTTTGATGTGTTTATAAGAAGGAAGCGAGACGGAGAGTCAATTGCATTAGGTTGTTTTGAGAATTATTTTATTTTATTTTGTGTGTGTGTGTCTGTGAGATAACAGGGCACGCCATCTAATGAATTGCAGATTAACCGAGTTATAATGTCATATCTGTTTGATTGTCTAAATAATATACGGTTGTTGACCCTCGTCTTTCTCTACTCAACCTAAGGTATCGATATACATATAAGTGTATAATGTTAAGTTGTCCTAAAAAATACCCACACGGACATCATGGCAACAAAAGCAATAACTTAATTAATCGAGCATCAATTATAACGAAGAAGCAAAACAATTGTGTACGTTCACAATGAAAACTGCTGAGCTTACTAAAAAGTTATCACTTATTTAGCAAAACTATCCAGTAGGGGTTGATAGTTTAGCAAGTGGTCTTCACAAATCAAATGCCACACACGTTCCAACTAAAGTAAAACGCTGCAAATACTCTCCAATCATTGTCTTGGGCGACATCAATATGTCAAAGCCTGGGAATAATGAACATTCATGTAGTCAATTCACAATACAATAGTTTCGATCTCAAAAGAACCAACCGCATGAAGAAATGATCTAACAATACTACAACATTGTAGCGAGTTCCCATAATCCAACCATGTAAAAGTGGGATTTCACTCTATCATTGAATTGAAAGTTAGTTGGTTCACTTTTTGGGTTATTTATTGTTTTCAACTGAAAATGTATCCTTTTCTTGTATCTTAATGCTACTCCAGTGACTGTCAAAGAAAAATTTCCCTAAAAGATAGTAAAAAGAAAGTGAGATGGGAGGATATTCATTGATCAGTCATAATTGCTGACCTGAGATGCTATCAGCCTGGAATGGATATATTGCTTTGTTCTCTCCTTTCTGTCCTTTCATATTGTCAGTTGAACTTAAAAAAATCCAAAAGCTCATACTTTTGCCACCTCTTGGATGTGTTGTGAATGGTTTTTACCAGGTGGAATGAAAATCAGATCTTCCCAGCCAGAGTTCTTCTCACTCATCTACAGCAGACAAAAAGAAATAATAAACAGTCCAAGTTTAATATCATTACTTATGATTATCAGACTCATTACCTCCATTTTCTTTAGAACATCTTCCAAACTTCCAACCTGTTTAAACAGAGTCAAATATTGAGCATGATAATGTGCCAAAAGAAATACATCGACCAGACAGTTTTTCCATAGTCAGATCTAGGTAGGTATTACATATAGATAATTAAGAAGATTTTAATTTTCCTTGGGGCATCAAATTATCATAGTTTATTACTTCAGCTACAGAATTGTTTCAACTGTTTAGATACTTTTCTTTTGTGGAGGTTTAGTGGAATAGTATCTAAATGATAGTAGCATAGCATGAAAACAGGTCTTGCAAAAGCCAATCCTTTGGTGGAAGCATAGCAATGAAACTTTAACTATCACTGATCAAATAAGTTGATATCTACAACATCATTATTTAATTGACCATGTTGCTTGTTAGTCAAATCAACTGTTTGACCAATAAAATACTAGAAGCCTTTGGATTCTAAAGAACGGAGTAAGAGAAATATGATCCTTTGACATTCAGAACTTATGTTATTACAGTCTAATAGGGCCCGATTTTATGACTTGACAATAAATCCGAGAATAGCAAACTTTTGCTTAAACAAAATACCAAATTCCACTTTCTCATCAAACTTTTAGTTCATTACCTAACATTTGATTTTACCCCATTTTCTTTCTCATGACTGATCACCAACTATTGAAACAAAGGAAATAAAATGAAGAGTGTTGAAAACATCATATAAGACATGGAAGTTGGTGCTCAAAAATTGTTTAACATAAATTTGCGTTGTTTCTAAGTCTATGTGCATGCAGGTGGTGCCAGTCAGAAATAATGCATAGATGGTTTTGAAGCACTCATGGCAGTCATCCAAACTCATAAATTTACAGCCATTTTTCCCCACATGTTCCTTATTCCTTTGAGTTTTTTAATTATTATGCTATATGAGCACCAAAATAGCAAATGAAAGCAATGATACATTTTTATACCATTATATGTTGAGAAACACCAGACCCTCTTGACGCCCTGGAAACCTTTGAGAGTTCTTTTTCTATATCTTCCTGCATAAGAAACAACAAGGAATAGCTAGTACCACAGGCACTTGTAACAGCATCTTACCAAGGTGTTAAGTTCCAATCAACATAAAACATCCACCAAGAACTCCAGGGTCAACAAACCTTTTGGAAAAATACTGGGCAATAACGCTTGTTTTTCTTCCTCACAACCAGAAGGTCAGACTGCACGCACAGAAATAATGGAAATTGAGAGAAATCACATGACATCTATCCAGAACAATGCAAAACTGAAATGAATGCTCAGATACACATCTGCACGCACATAGCAAACAAAACTTACCAAAATAGTTCCATGCACAACAACGTGGCCAAAGATGTCCAATGCAAAATGCTACAGCTTGGGCATTGATTGATGATTTCATGTTATACTTGCAAAACAATCATAGGAGACTGAAGAACAGTTTTATTTTTCTTTTCTTTTGTGTCTAAAACATTCTAAAATTCATTTGGATATCAGTCATGGACTAATTGGTACCAATCCATGGCCAATGGGGCACAGGAACTCTCCTTACTAAATTCCAATGGCATGGCCCATTTTGACACGATTTGATAAATTCATCATAAATTTCTAATCTAGTAAGAAAATTCATCTTAGATAACCTTTAAGGAATGTCTCCAGAAAACAAATACCTTCAATTACCAAATTAAAACAAGATTTACAAAGATTTTGCTGATTAAACAATACTCATAAGAATAAAGATTACAGTACGATATGCAGAAAATTGGGGCCTTCATTCAAATTAATGTGAATATAAAAAAAATAAGCCAGGGTCAATATGAATGTATTCTGCATACAAATTCATGTGTATCTCCATGTTGAAGCCAGCTATATGACAAATTAAAGGCTAGAGGTGTTCAATTTATAGAACTAAGAACTTGTTGGAAATGTGTCCACTTTCAGAGACATTAGACATTAGACATATTCATATAATTAAATAGCATACCTGAAAAACAGGAACTCCATCAAAGCCAGTTCTAATATCAATCGCTTTCATCTGATAATCATGAAAGTATTATTAGTATCCCTTATTCTAGTTCAGCTAAACTAGAAGTGTTTTAGTCATTTCATTTCAAATTATATTGATTTGACACAGCCTTCCAAACTGAAATGAGTCAAATAACTAAAGAAACTTGCTAGCATGATGAGAAAATGCATAACCTATAAGTGCTAAACTGTCACCTCAAAACTTAAATAATAAACACTCTCACTCTTTCAAGTAAGAAAAAACGCTAACATTCAACTTATATAATAAAATCACCTCTAATGCATTCTTTATCTGAACTGGATCAGGCAAAAAACGGAATGCAATTCCTTCAACCTTCAACATGTAAACCTGTAGTATCAAAATTACAAAAACTCATATTATTCAAAATATAGATTAAATATCAATACATAATCAACCTCACACTTGTAGGCTGTGAAAGGATGATGTAGGTAACTTTAATTGTGTCCATGCTCCAGATTATTTAGTCAGAAATTAAATGTTCATATAATTAATCTCACATACAATAAAAACATTCTTCGAAACACTTTTTCAACACAGCCTAACAATTATAACATAAAGCTTAAAATAACCTAGCACCAACAAACTGACCTGGTCAAGAGTAATGGGAACAACCTTAGCCGCACTTCGAAGCTCTCTCTTTCGCAAGCGTACCTAAATATCACCAAAGATAATTTATCGACAAAAAAAAAAAAAAAATAATAAAAAAAAAAATCAGCTGAAACAAAACCGATAAAGAGCAGAAAACACAAATTTCGAAGATTAACCTGAGCAAGAAATGCCTCGGCATCTTCCTGTCGAAAGCAAAGCAAGCCAATGGACTTGGCTCCATTTGGATCCGAAATAAGCACAAACTCATTGTTAGAATTGCTAACAGTATACACTGCCGTGCCGGCAAGGGTTTTCGCGACAAAATCAGAGCTGAGTGTTGCAGCGACGGCCTGCTTGGGCTGTGAGAGAGATGCAAACGGCGGCAGAGATTGACGGTGAAGCCTGGCGGTTAAGGTTGCGGCTAGGCGCTTGGTGTCGTCGAAGCGGCTTGATAGTTCAGAGCAGAGGCGGAGGCAGTTTTGGTGGATGAAGGTTGAGAAGGATAATAGAGGGTTCGTGTGTACTTGGGATTTTGGAAATTCCATTTTTCAAACAACAAAATTTGTATCCTTGGACGAATCAACTCAACCAACTACGAGTTCAGCGGACGGGAGAGTTGCCATTTTTTTATTTGCTTTAGTTATCAGGAGAGCGAGTGCTCATGTGGGCCTGTGTCTTGGGCCTTCTAGAGTCAATCTTCTGGAATGGTTTGGCATATCTGAACTATCTTTGTGCTTAGAGTTGGTCTGCTAATATCAAGTTGAAATACTGATGTTGTCACAATTCATTATAAAAGTAGTAGTATTATTATTTCAAAGATATAATGTTATACTTGTGAAATTAAGATACAAATATTGATATAACTAACAATTTATTTGATATGTTTACTTCATTATTTATACAGTGTTAACAAATCAATTCTGGTGTTATATGATGTTTATTACTTCAATAAGTAAGTCCTACTTGAAAAACAATATTTCAAATTTTTATTTTTCCTGAATTCATTACTACTCGTGTTCAATATTATATTTGCCGTATACGTGTTTCATTCAATAAAACACCCAAATGCTTTAGTTTTTAGTTCTTAGCCAAGCTTTGCCGTGATAAATTCCATTCAGGATGCGATTTAAATATATATGAACAGTCAACATTCCAAATTCCACACATGAAAAATGATGTAAAGAAGACCATATTTAAACCCATTGTAATAAGCCATCGAAATAGACAATTGTGCAGGTAAAGGTAGAAAGAATATTATCTTTAAAGATTTAATAATAAATACGAACCAATTTTGTTTTTAAATGATGGAGAATCTTATTGCATTTTAATTTATAGGCCAATTTCGTTGTTAAATGATGGAGAATCTCATTGCATTTTAATTTCTAGGCTTTTAGCTGGCCTTGGATTGGATGCCCTTAAAGAATGAATAAAATTAGAAACATTATCAATAAGTTAAGTGAATTGTTACGCTAATTTCTCTCGAAGATTAAAAAGAAAGAATAAAATTGAAAACATTTTAAATAAATTAAATGGATTGTTAAGATAATTTATATCGAAGATTAATCGAAATACGTGTAAATTAGCGGTTAGGCTAAACACCTTGATTAAAAAAAAGAATCTTCAATAAGCTGGTTTTCTTAATGACAATACTTTATAGTTGGTCACTTTATTCTTCTATTAGAGTGTTATATTTGTGCTTTGTTTATTCATTGCATTGGGCTAGAACCTTGGCAATAACTAATACAAAACGCGTCTTTGATCTGACCCTTATTACTACTTTATCTAGTATAAAAGAATCTGTTTGCTTGGTTCTTCCTCACCGAACAAATTACATTTCACCTGCACTTCTGTAGCCAACACATTATTAATTAAGATGCCGGTGTATCTGAGCAGAACTGCAAACTTTCTTCTCACAGAAGAGCAGCTAAAGGGTCTTCTTAAGAGATATGATATTAATGGGGATGGCCGGTTAAGCAAGAAAGAACTTCAGGTAGCCTTTCGTGGGTTGGGTTTAAATTTTAGTGGGTTTAGAGCCAGACGAGCTTTGCAACACGCTGATGCTGATAATGATGGATTCATTACAGACGAAGAGATGAAGGAGCTTATCACATACGCAGCCAAATGGGGATTTACCGTAAACTAGAGTAGCTATATTACACATTTATGATGTTTCAGAGATGGCTATATCACTTCTTGTGCTGCTACTCTAGCGCACTTTGCGACTTCTTTGTTTAATTTCTCATTTATTTTCTATAATTGTAGTATAAACACTTTTTTGGCTGTGTTTATAATACAGCATGTAAAAGCAATCTTATAAATTTTCCGTTTCTGGTTTGTGAGTTTTTTAAAAACATTGTTACAGCACTGTGCTTCCAACTTCCAAGTCCATTTCAAATAAATTATATGAAATAAAATTGTACCCTCTCTAATACTCCATAGATATCGTTGTATTTTTCCACTCTTATAAACCTTAAGTTGTGGACTCAAGTAATTTTTCCTATTATATCTTAGAAGGATAAGATAAGAAATAAAGCTCCCTTTTATTCTTACCAGCAAGGCTGATGATCATGAGAAAAATATTTCAAATTTATATGATCCATTAATTCTTGTACCACTTGAATTAGTTTTCTTTGGTTTTCGTCTCTAAAGGCCTCACAGAGAAGCAACAGATGATAATTATATATCGATGAAGTTTCTCCGATTTAGATATAACCTGAAAAGAAATTAGTATACCAACAAGTTGAGTCAATAATAATGAATGTATATCATATCAAGACTCTTATACAAACCACAAAGAAACAGAAGTACCGATTCAATTGAACTAGCTAGCTTTCTAAGCACATAACACAAGGGAGAAAAAAAAGAAAGTAGAATAAAACACCACTTCTTTGCATATAGTCTTTTGAATGGATGGTGATTCAATGCTGGTAGCTAATTCCATTTGGAGCAAAGTCCAAAGCGATCCATCTCGTTTTCATAAATAGATTTATCTCCGTTGATATCTACTTTCTCGATTGCTTTATGAACTATTCAGTTCAAGCGAGTCTAGTTAGTAAATTTATGTTTTATACGTGAATTATACGTCCAACCATATAATTTGCATATAAAACACAAATTTCTGTATTTTATAAGTACAGTCGAATTATATGCCACAGTCATATAATTCGCGTATAATTCTCATACGATTACCGTATTTTTAAAAAATAAAATTTTCTTATTTAATGAGCCAAAACAATGTCGTTTTAGGTAGAGTTGGTTCAAAACTCAAATGAAATGAAATTACTCTCTTCTTCAATTCTCTTCGTTTCTTTTTTGGCGCCCTCTTCATCTCTTCTTCTTCAACTATTCTTCAACTTCTTCAGTTCTCTTCGTCCCATACACCCAACCATCCCCCAGGAGTTAGGACCCTCACCCTCACCAACCCATTGTTGGTGTTTGTAATGGTGAAAAAGGGTGTCATAGTGGTCTTGCCGTGGTGGTGGTTTCATGCCTTAACTGGGTTTTAAGCAAGTTGGTTCTTGAATTTTTGGGTGGCTTGGTTGGTGGTGCAGTGGTGGCGGCTTTATTAGGGTTGAATTATTGTTGTGCAGTTTTGGGTTTTGGATTTGAATGATTTTTCTGGTTTTTTTTTTTTTTTTTTTTAATTTTATTATCTTGATGCTTGATACATGGAATTTTTTTTAAGGTAGAGAATTTTATTTAAAATATTTAATTTTTAGTTTTAGTTGTGAAAAATGAAAATGTTTCAATTTTTTACAAATCCTGTTCATTTTATTTTTTTATTTTATTCATTATTATTTTGTTATATTAATGTCTACGGTCTTAGTTTTTTATTTTGTATTTAGTCCTCCTAATATGAGAAACGGGGGGTACACTGGACATTTACTTTCAAAAGCATTAACACATTCTAGAATTCCCTAACGGCAGCAGTTTTACAGAGACTAAAATGATTTTTTTGGGATTTGACTGGACCAGTCCACTTCTACAACATTTGTGGTAATTAATTAGGAATCAAATGATACAATTTTTTATAAATTAAAATATTACAATTCAAAAAGACGTAAACCATACATCTATAAGAAAAAACAAAGGAGGATTAATTCAATAATTATGAAAAATGCTAAAATCAAGAGTACTATTATTGTATTTTTTAAAATGTATTATTGACGATGTGTCATATTAAACTTGTATATATTTGTATCGTATTTTTCTCGTATCCGAATTTTATAACCAAATTTTTATAAACATATTTTTCATCATTTGTCGTATCATACTCATAAAATTTTCATACCATTTTTTTGTTGTACTCATATTTACTAACTAGGGAAGTGAGAGACGTTCAAGTGAACAAATGCCGCCTTGACCTCATTACACTCTAGCTTATGATCTTTGTTGGTATCAAAGTTCCAGAAGAAATCAGCAACTACTTGTTGATTTGGCTTGGTGGAGTCTTTTTGTGTGACTGGTGCGCTTGTGGGATGGTGACCATTTTGGCCACCTGCTGCTCCATTGGTAGCTGCCGTGCGGGGAGGTGGTGGAGCCGCTCTTGTTGACTTGTTGTATGGTTATGGGTCAAAAAAAGGGGCATCCTAGCTAGTAATGTTTCTATTTGCGACATATGCTCTACTATAATAATAAGCATCACATGTGTATATAGGAAAGATTTAGTATCACATTATTCTTATAACCATAAATACATTATCTGATATAAATATTCCGTTTTAATTTGTGTTTTATGATATAATATACCAACTCTATCATTAATTAGCATAATGCGTAATTAATGGAAATGGACCAGACTCGAAAGAATGAAAGAAAATTCAGGTGCTTGAATTGACAACATATACTACTTTTAGTTATATTCTTGCCACTTGCTATGCTTATCTCAACTTGCAATATCCAGGCCTTGGATACCGGCAATAGTCCAGATGTTTGGGTTGAAAAGTCAGCCTTAATATTTTAACGTGCAATCCAGTATTGTCATCTCCCACGAGCCTGCAGTCTATATCAGAACTGATTATAATAATTAAGGGTAGTAATTCATTTACAATTATTTGTCAAACGCATAATGGAAAGTTATCAACGTTCCAACATGAAAATTAACCTTCAGGTATAAACGTAAATACTTATTAAGCATAATACACAACATCACTTATAGTCTTGAAGAGTCATATAATAATGAATATAGGTGAACTTTAGACTTCTGGAAAAGCAATAAATATTAATAGTTACTATATTGTTTTTGAGAATAAAGCCACTTAGCGCGTATCAGTGAAGTGGTGCATCATGCTGTGGGGTTCAAGACTTGCACTTCAAAGATGCCCACTTGTATATATGCTTAGCTTATTTATATAAATGCTTCCTCTCATTTTTTAATCTAAAAGTTTGAAGTTTCAACGGTGATTTGGAAAGAGCTTTGAACGAGGTTCACAATATATCAAAGGTTGTTATAAATGGCCCAACATAATATTGTCTGCTTTGGCGTTACAGGGCCTCAAGAAGTCATGGTTGTGTTTCTGAGCTTTAGGCCCAAAACATATCATGTTGGGTTAAGGCCTATAGCCCCATATACACACACACTTCCTCTCACACGGAGCGACGTGGGACTTCATGTCACACCCCCTGTCTCCCTTGGACTTACTACTAAAGAGAAGGGAGAAAATAAATAAATTAAACCTCTCCTGCTATTCTCATCTTTTCATGATAACATGAAGAATAAAAACTGTTGTGCGGTAAATCCACCATGCATGGATTCATGTCCCGTGTCTCAAGGATGCACTGTCACCAGACTACGTGTCACTCCATTAGAGGACTGCTTCACTTGTAAATTTACCAAATGTTACTTCATGGGTAAGCATCAACTTGTGATGACAGTCAGATCGTGTGTCACCTCATGGGAGAGTTACTTCATGTGCAATTAATACCATCTTAGGCTTATGTGTCGCTCTCTGTAAGGATTACTTCACTAGTAAGTTCACCAAGACAACAATATATAAATGAGTCTCTGTACTATTTTCTTGCTCCAAAAACCACGTCATTTGTTCTTAGAATTGAGGTCGCATGTACTTACAAAAATACACGAAAAAGAAATAAAATAATAGTGGATGTAGGATTTGCATTTTGCATCCGAATCACTCTAAAAATCCTATGTTCTTAGTAATTATCATTTTAGCATTAGTTCAACACGAAATTATCCGTTTATAACAAACCCTTATGTAGATTTCCTCATAAGATTTATGTAGTTCTCGTTGGCGCAAAAAATGGCATCAACAAAAACCTAACTCTGATTGTCTAGGACCAAAGAAGTTGCCCAGGTGTTAGACCTTTACTCAATATCCACATAAAAAAGAAAAAAGAAAAAAATTGCAGAGTTGATTTTTTTTGTCTATACTTAAATCGGTTGGAAATTTGATTACATGGCTACCAGCGGCCGCCGCCACAACGTCAATAAGTATAGTTTTGAAGAAAAAGTTGAAAAACGACCATACACCAAGGAAGAGCTGAACAATGTTTTTTGGCAGCATGACAAGAACAGAGACTGCCGCCTCAGCAGGAAAGAGCTCCGGGGAGCCTTCAAAGAGCTTGGTGCAATCTTCCCCCTGTTTAGGGCATATAGAGCTCTCCGCCATGCCGATGATAATGGAGATGGATATATAAGTGAAGATGAAATGGAAAAACTCGTGAATTACGCTGACCGACTCAGTTATCGGTATTTCCCTGTTTACACCAAGGAAGAGCTGAAAGTCATATTCAATAGATTTAAGGCAGACGGCCGCCTCACGCTCAGCAAGAAACAACTCGAGGCCGCCTTCAATGACCTTGGTTCTTCAGTCCCTTCCTCTAGAGCAGATAGAGCACTCAACTATGCAGATCAGAATAAAGATGTACATATTACTACTGAAGAAGAAATGGATAAGCTCCTCGACTACATAATCAAATTACGATACAAAAATACTATCCGTCAAAAACAACAGCTACATTTTCTGTGAGATGATGGTATATAAGTATAATTGTATTTTTCTTTTCCTGGTTGGTTTTCAGGTTTTCGTCTCGGTGGTCTTAGGAGCTACAGTAGTCGAATGTCAAGTGATTAAAGCCTTGTAATATGTCAAACGTACGTCTGAATCTTACAATTAAATTTATGTAATTTTTCTTCGAAGCACTTAAATTCTTGTTAATTTCAGTTTTATAGAACATTAACCAACTGATTCTAATACGGAGGACAAAGGGAGTTGCAGCAATCGAACAAGATGCTTTTCAGCAATGGGCAGGTTACAATGAGCTAGCTATGATAGCCTTAACTGACAGGGACAACTACGACTGCCTATTTTAATTAAGTCTCTAGTTACAGAATAATCACACGTAACTGGAACTGATCAAGTAGTTTTGTTATATGGCATACTTGTAAACCAACGAACTGATTTGATGTCTGATAGATTATTTCTTCTATCTATATACAAATAAAGTAAGTAATGGTGTTTACAGTAATTCTGGTGCGTGGAATTGATATTGATTGAGGGAGTGTATAACTATACAAAATCTCATTGAAGAGTAAGACAAACGTATGCCTCGTAAATTTTGCAGTCGTAATTATGTTATGCATAGGGTGTCAAGTTATAGTTATCGACATGATGGGTTTTCTTGGACTGATTAACTACCTTCACCAAAAGACAAGGTTAATTTGCAAAACGCTACCACTTATTAGTTCTTGGACCAAATTGTTTCAGTAGTGATTCTGATATCCGAAAATAACTTGCAAACCACTCATTCCACGGTGTTCTATATTCGAAAAGCAAAAGAAAAATCGAATAAAAGCCAGTTAAAATCATCCAGGAAAGTTGGTGTGTGGCTTAAGCCTTACCCATATCAGACTTTAATAAAAATTGCTGATTCGATTCTTTTGTCTATGCTTTTTAAATTTGATTCCATGGTTTACTATGCTTAATTATCTACCAAACATGGCATTGGATAAGTTATGTACATATATTTATTATTCTTGTATGATAATTTTCAAGTGTTGCAGTTTTTCCATATGTGTAGAAGGATTTCCGAAATGCTAGAGGGAGTAATATAGCACACATTATGAAAATCCATTGGCTCAATCAATCAAACTTGAAGCAAAACAGTATGCAGGAAGATCGATTAACGAACTACACATAGATAAATGATCACTTAAAAAATGTTATGGAGTGTGACTTTATGTAAGTTTCTTCAGTGTTTCCGGGAGGAGATTACTATTATGTCTTTTGTGGAAAAATCAGTTGGAATATTTTTCCTTTCATTTATCTGGAATTAGGAGTAGTTGTTTATCTGGTTAGAACATACCGTTTCGCCTCAAGTATCAAGAATACAGTAAGGTATGTTACTACCTCCACCTTATCCAAATTGATTCTGTTGGTCCAGTTGAGATGAGGCCCAAAACCCAACATATAATTTTAAGGGAATTGATAAGACAGTAAGAGAATCGCTCGTGATACACATATATAATCCAAGTTTATCCACAAATAAAAGTATCTCTATAGGACTCTTTATATAATTCACATTCTTTATTATAAAGAGTTTATTCATAAAAACAAGAGTCCAATAGATTATTTATCTTTAAAATATAAATTAGAGAGTGAGTTTGACTCTTCACATTTAGAGAGTCAAATTTTACTTTCTACCCTAATTTTAATTAATAAACTACAAGTTCTTATATACATTTATTTATTAATTCTCTCTCCCATTAAGTCTATTTCTTAAAAAAAAAGAGCATCTTCGTTAAATTTAAAGAGTTTATTGGATTTGAATAAAAATGGTGTTCTTTATATTTAAAAATGAATGAAAATGCTCTTTATTTATATGAAAGATGCTCTTCAAAATAAAGAGTATAATTAGAGATGCTCTAACTATATATGATTTAATTACCAATAGATGACGTTGGAAAATAAATAATTACTCAATTATATATTAAGCAGAGGTAAATCACCAAATTTAATTTGGTTGGAGACTTAATAAGCTATCATTGCCATAATTGTAAACGTATTATGAATGTTGGTTGTATTTCAATACCTATGAATTGTTCAATATTTAATTGCTGAATATACCATGAATATACTATTTTCTTAGAAGAGTTGGTTCATATTCCTGCAACATGGATCCTGCATGGCAAGTTTTAAATAAACTCATAAAAACTATATGATATAATAACTTTCTAATTGGCATGTCCGTGTTTTTCATGTTTTGAGCAAATAAAATCATAAAACAATTGGATTCCAATCTTCCTTTCCCTTAAACTCAATTTACGATAATAATTTATTAATTGGTCCGTTGTGAAATTCTTCGCTTTATAAAGTCTCTAGCCAAACTTTAAGGTGGTGCTTTTGACCAATCCCTTTTTATCTAAACTTTATCAATAATTCAGTGCTTTTTGACCAATCCCTTTCTATCAAAGCTTTGTATTCCAACCTTAAATTATTCGACCTAAGGGGTTGGCCTGACGGTTAAGAAAATTTGTTTCATTCTTTGAATTCTTGGTTCAAACTTTGGGGTCACCTACCACATTAATATTGTGTCATACTTGATCATTTGAGCTTGTAAGATATTTAATGAATCTCGAGAATTAGTTGAGATACGCATAAGCTAGCTAGAATATCCTGATTATCAAAAAAAGAAAAAAAAAACTTAAATTATTCACTTTATAGTTGATTACGAATTTACGATGTTGTTGTATAGAAAACCATATCTCTATGCATTTTGAAGGGAAACACAAGGGGAGTGTATATATTATCTATATGTGAAAAAAAGGAAAAAAAAAAGAAAAAAAAGAAAAAGAAAAGAAAGAATTTGGCATGCAGTTGGCTTCTATTCATAGTTAAACAAAATGGATATGGAAATTATTTCTAAATTGAATTGACATCAGAATTTGCTTGAAAATCATCCTTAATATTTAAAATATTTAAACGGCAAATATTTATTGAATACCAATTAATAGCAACATTTATGATTGTTGCAACATATATTCTTTTAAGATAAAGGAGCAAGTAATCGCTCTTAGAGAATAATAATGAGTGAAGTGGTGGGGTCGTGTGCTTTAGAGAGATAGAGATGCCCTTTGTATTTGATGTAGGCATGCGTGACGTGGTAGCCTGTGGCATCTCAACTCTTAAGAATTCAACATTCCTAATTATCACACAATAATGGAAATAGTGTTAGTGTGTCTTGTACAAGATAAGTTGGAATTTCATAAAGGCAGCTTATAGAAGAAGACTTGAGGGGATCTCTATATATATATTCACTACTGCTTGGCTATACTTACGCATCACTGCAAGCTAATAAGCAGATTAAGCCATATAGTTTCTTCTTCTTGATCCTTTCTAAACACCATGCAGACTCCACGTGGTATAGGTAAAGAGTGCAGGAGGATCATTATAGATCCCAAGCCGGCACCTATTCCATACACTGAGGAACAACTCAAAGGCATGTTTTGGCGATTTGACAAGAACGGGGACCGCCGCCTCAGCAAGCAAGAGCTCAAGGCCGCCTTCAAAGAACTGGGTGCTCTTATCCCTGGCTTTAGAGCAAATAGAGGTCTCCACCATGCTGATGCTAATGGAGACGGATACATAAGTGATGAAGAAGTCGATAAGCTCGTCAAATATGCTTATCAGTTGGGTTATAAAGTTAATTAAATCCCGCGAAGGCACTCTTAATTAATTATATAAATATCTACATAATTACTTTCTTTCTTGCTGCTCTGTTTTCAGGGTTCTAGTACGTAGTCTTAACGAGCTGTAGTTTTCCGTCTAATGTCAGAGGAGAAAATCATGTCCTATAGCAAGTCTCCCGACATTAGAGGCCAAAGCAAGTTGCAGTACTTGCATATGTATAAATTGATCTTACAAATAAAATAATGTATTTTGCTTTTAGAATCAATCTCTTTATCAAAGTTCACTTCTCTGATCACTTATTAACATACAAAATTAACTAACTGAATTCCAATAGATTAAATAGTATTGAGTCAGCAATCACTATGCATTATTCACAACTTGAAATAGTTCACAGACAGCTTTGAATCCCCGCTATTGTGTTGATGTAATGGCTTTAAATTTCTTATAATCTGCCCGTTACAATGACCGAGGATTTAAGATTCGAAATTTCATGTCTCACCGTGTAAAGTATAACCACATGCACCTCTAGCTACTACTTTTTTTATATATTTTAAGACATGATTTGTTTTGATAAGAATTTAGTCCTTTGCTCTATTCACAAAATTAATTATAGTTTGTTGTAATATACGTATAATTAGGTAATTTTTTCCTGGAAATAAAAGTCAGATCATCACTAACTTGCAATTTGATGTGCCCCGTTAATTAAGGGTAGACAAATATATGCTACGTAAATTTTGCAAACATTCTTATACCATGTCAAGTTAAAATTTTGAAACAGATGGAATTTCTTGGACTGGCTACTTACCTTCACCAAAAACTAACTTCATTGAATAAAAATATGCATCCTAAATTTTATGTATTCTAATTCAAATATAAAAAGTAATATACATGCATGCATAACAGGTTCACAATAAATCAAAGCTTTAATTTATTAAGTACCCCTTTCCAGTCCTCTCCCCTGGACTTACGTACTTCTAAGCAAAATGGGCGAAAATAAATTAAACCTCTCTGACTATTCTCATCTTTTCATGATAACCATGAAGAATAAACTATAAACCACGCATATCACACTTTAATAAAAATTGCTGATTTGATTCTTTTGTCTCTGCTTTTTAAATTTGATTCCATGGTTTACTATGCTTAATTATCTACCAAACATGGCATTGGATAAGTTATGTACATATATTTATTATTCTTGTATGATAATTTTCAAGTGTTGCAGTTTTTCCATATGTGTAGAAGGATTTCCGAAATGCTAGAGGGAGTCATATAGCACAAATTATGAAAATCCATTGACTCAATCAATCAAACTTGAAGCAAAACAGTATGCAGGAAGATCG